ACTGGGCGGAGACCATGAACTCCGGAGGCTTAAGAACGCGGTTGAATCACGTGTGACCGCGCGGATTAAAATCCAGGCTCTCCGGGATGGCAGCTCAGTGCTCGGACCCGCTGGGTCACCCGGTCACCACTGCCACAGTCATTTTAAGTCGTCCAACTTGGTTGCAATGTTTGAAGAGATTGTTAAGCATGAAGAAACAGACGTAACTCAAAGTACCGGTATTACATTCACGACTTGTTAAGAAGATAAACAAGGATATATTTTGGTGGAGTCAGTATGAAGAGGACCTTAATGCATTCGTTCATTGGTAATGTTTGGTGGCTGTGGTGGTTACTTAAGAATGGTTAGTCACAGATTGACCTTCTATTACCTGAAAACAATAAATATGCCAATTAATTGTCCTCCTTGGACAAATTTGGAAGCGTAATTTTGTAAATTCAATGGTGTTTCACGGAATCACTGTGCCCATTCCTTCCACAGTCTAATGTGCATGCACAACCTGTTTCGATGACACAACGCAATATACAACTGTCGGTGGGATTATTGCTCGTCCAGTACTTAAGAGGATTAAAAGTAAACCAGATTAACATATAATATTAAACCACCATTGCCACGGTTTGTTATATTCGAAATCACATCTAAGAATATGACAATGTGACTTTTCCATTAAATTTCTATTGTAGAATTTAGCAGTGGCACAGTGGCACTCTAAATCTGGCTACCCAAGTTCGATTCCCGACCATGGCCAACATTCGTGGAAAGCGATGTGTGTCCCCGCCCTGGGTGGCCCCCTTCACCAAACCCGCACACTCACCAGAATGGGGAAGTATGACCAAATAACCCTCACGGCTGACATGGCGTGGGGAAACCATTCACCTGGCAGTTGCACGACAAAGGGCTCTAAATATGACATTTTGACGATGCTTTATGATTGAAAATCGGAAGGTTCCCAGTTCGAAACCCAAATCAGGTGTTAAATCTAATCAACAATCTGTATAGGGCCAAGGGGTCGGCACCTTGTGCCTCCGACTCTCGTGGGGTGGCTCTTTAATGACTGCTGCTTCGTGGTGTTATTTATTAAGGACCACACCGTCTCGGATTCACCACACACTGCATTGGGGCTCTTAAAATCTTTTTTTTACACAATTATTTTGTTTGCTGACTCCTGACCATTGGGAGTTCAGTTCACCACAGGGGTCAAGTTCACCATGGGAGTCCAGTTCACCATGGGAGTTCAGTTCACCATGGGAGTCCAATTCACCATGGGAGTTCAGTTCACCATTGAAGTCGAGATCACCATGGGAGTCAAGTTTACCATGGAAGTTCAGTTCACCATAGAAGTTCAGTTCACCATGGGAGTACAGTTCAACATGAGAGTCCAGTTCACCATGGGAGTCCAGTTCACCATGGGAGTCCAGTTTACCATGGGAGTCCAGTTCACCATGGGAGTACAGTTCACCACGGGAGTCCAGTTTACCATGGGAGTCCAGTTCACCATGGGAGTCCAGTTTACCATGGGAGTCCAGTTCACCATGGGAGTCCAGTTTACCATGGGAGTCCAGATCACCATTGAAGTCGAGATCACCATGGGAGTCAAGTTTACCATGGAAGTTCAGTTCACCATAGAAGTTCAGTTCACCATGGGAGTACAGTTCAACATGAGAGTCCAGTTCACCATGGGAGTCCAGTTCACCATGGGAGTCCAGTTTACCATAGGAGTCCAGTTCACCACGGGAGTCCAGTTTACCATGGGAGTCCAGTTCACCACGGGAGTCCAGTTCACCATGAGAGTACAGTTCACCATGGGAGTCCAGTTCACCATGAGAGTACAGTTCACCATGAGAGTCCAGTTCACCACGTTAGTCCAGTTCACCATGGGAGTCAAGTTCACCATGAGAGTCCAGTTCACCATGGGAGTCCAGTTCACCATGAGAGTACAGTTCACCATGAGAGTCCAGTTCACCACGTTAGTCCAGTTCACCATGGGAGTCCAGTTCACCATGAGAGTACAGTTCACCATGGGAGTCCAGTTCACCATGAGAGTACAGTTCACCATGAGAGTCCAGTTCACCACGTTAGTCCAGTTCACCATGGGAGTCCAGTTCACCATGAGAGTACAGTTCACCATGAGAGTCCAGTTCACCACGTTAGTCCAGTTCACCACGTTAGTCCAGTTCACCATGGGAGTCAAGTTCACCATGAGAGTCCAGTTCACCATGGGAGTCCATTTCACCATGGTAGTCAAGTTCACCATGGGAGTCTATCTACAACTGCTCAACCCGAGCCAGTAGTAATGCTTTGATATTTGAATTACCTTTGTAGAATTCGCCTGTTGGCGTTCTCTGGTCCAACACTGTTGAGACGAGGCCACAGAAACGGCTGTCTCTCGTGTACCGTCGTTCAGATTCAAGGACAATGCGCGTGTGGTGAATGCAGACTTGATACCTTGCAGTGAGCGTGAATTGTTGTCAAGTCGTGTGTTCTACAAGTTAAGCCTGGGCATCCCAGGGCATCACGCGTGTGCGTGTGTGGGGAGTGGTAGTGTACTGGTCAGCGCGCTGACCCAGTTCCTACTCACGGCCAACACCGGCGACGATTATCTGAACCGGTCCTTTGGCCTCCCCTAGGACGACTCAGCCTCAAATGAGTATCTGGTGTTGTTGAAACATCGCCACTGGGGAGACAAAGGTGGCCGGGCGTGGTTCTGGCCACCCCATGTGTTTCCGTGCCGGCCTTCACAAGGTTATACATGCTAACAGCACTTGCCCCAACTCTCTGTGGCAGGCTACACGGGGGACCTTTGTCTTTGCCAGGAAGAGGGCGCGCGTGCGATGACCACGTCGCGTCGCCGACGTGTAACTCGTGCGGAGGAGCGGTGGCGCACGCGTTAGCGCACACCCGCGCTACGAATCCTTCGCACCCGAGTTCGATTCCCTGCCACGGCGAACATCAGCGTCGAGTGATAACTCAACAGGGTCCTGCCGTAACCTCCCCCCCCACCACCACCTCCAGCCCTTTCACCAACAAACACTGACAGAGGTGGTGAAGTATGGTCAAACACCACGACTGAACACAGAGGAGGAGGCATGAGCCTCCATTACAAAACTCAACACGAACGTGTACAGTACTGTACGTACAGTGCACTGTATTCACTGTACATACAGTACATTGTGTATACAGTGCGTTTTGTGTACAGTACACGGCGTGTACAGTCTAACAAAACTTTTTTTTTATAAAATAAACTTTAAAAGTGCTGCAATTAGTGCTACGATTCCTTACGTATTCCAAGGACGTCGTCTAAATCGTATTCAGGTGACGGCTTGCAAACAGCTTCTCTTGCACAAGGAACAAACACGTGGCGATAGGGAAAAGATTAAAACAACTACAACACCACAATCGATGCCACGCAGCCCTTGGCTACTACATGTCAACGTTGACATGAAATCGTATGAAACACGTCGTATTTGTAAATGTGAAAGTGGTGTCGTGGCAAGATCTGTAGCTACGTTAACGTGTAAGACTTTCAGCTGTCTACAGGCACATCCACATCAAAACTTGAGCACACAAACCTATTGGGGTGTTTCCTTTATTAAAAGGACCTTAATTGGCCTTGGCATCACACTTGTTAAAGAAGCTACTGAGTGAGATAGACAAGACGATACACATCCATAAAGCCACCGTGATAACGAAAGTCTGTGGCACTCATTCAACACACCACTCGTTAAGGCGAAACTGGCGATTAAATATATACACTACGATACACTACTATACACTACACTATATACTACTATACACTACGATACCCTACGATACACTATACTATACACTACACTATACACTACTATACCTTACACTACTATACAAGAGTATACACCATAAACTACACTACTATACACTAGACACTATTATACACTAGTATACAATACACTATATAATACCCTACTATACCTACTATACACTATATACTACACTAATATACACTAGACTATACACTAGACTATACACTACTAAACCCTTCTATACACTACTAGAAACTATTACTGTATACATTACTATACCCTACTATCCACTACACTATACCCTACTATACACGATTATATACCATATACTACATTACTATACACATTATACACTATTATACACTACACTAATATACACTATATACTCAACTACTATACACTACACTAGTATACACTACACTATCATACCTGTAAACCCATACGGCTCACCTCGTATTATTGTACAGGGAAATTAAATTTTCAGGTTCAACACGACTTAGTCGTTTCAACACGGACAAAGCATTTGTTTTATCTGATTGTTTGTGTTTCTGCTTTGTGATGGGTCTATGTAGGATGAACGTTGATATTTATAATGACACGGGCTGACTAATACGGTCTGAATTGATCTGTAATAAGTTAGGCACTGATAAGGGGTTGACAGGTTTGTGTATTCCCTCCACCATTAAACAAACACCTGTAACAGGATTCTCATCATCACTGCTCCTACGATCAAAGCCTCCTGTAATATAAACTAATTTGTATCATCACACGTGTGAATTGTTATCCAATGCGGGGGGGGGGGGTGGTGTGTGTGGTATGGATCGAGAGCTGTCGTGTGAAAGCCAGTGCCAAGTGAAAGTCGTAGCGTGTGTCTGTGTCGAATGTATACATCGTCTATGACTTCTATTCGGAGTGATGGCAAAACACTTTCAAGGGGGGTTAGATGCCAATCATCAACGCTGACCGCAGTGAGGGTTTTTAACTTTGACGAAGCGTGGTTGTGTGGCCACAATCTCGTAACCTCTGTGGGTCTCCACGTGTATTTGTGGGTCTACGTTTGTGAGTTCTCCCTATGTTGTCTCTCTCTCTATCTCTTGCGATGTACATCATCACACTTGAGTCTCCACGGATTGCTAACCGCGTGTGCTCACTGTAGCTTCGAGCGCGAACAGAGATCTCAGTGGTTCGTCCCGGACACAAAGCGACACCTTTGCAACTTACTGCTGCAGTCTTCATCCCCGCACACCTTGATGTCGGACAACAGCTGCTCGTCACCTCCACGTGTCCCTTCTTCTCCTCCGCACACCGCCGCCGCTAACGCGAAAGCGATGCAGAGAGGCGAGAGGGCCACCATGCCGTAATCCTGTTGCTTGCTCGTCGACTTTGTGGTTTAGAAGATGGAGCGAGCAAGAAAGAAAATAAAAATAATGCGTTTCAGGAGAGAAACATCCCTTTAAGAGTCACCCAGCAACTCGGCTTCCACACACCACCCACCCCAACTAGCGTGCCACACACACACAGACACACTGACACACACACAGACACGCTGACACACACAGACACGCACTGACACGTGCGCGCGTGTCAAGGCTGCCTGCCGCTCCCGCAATGCACGAGAAGCAGCAGCAGCGTTACCCGGATGTGGGGTGGAGAGCGGGGACGTGGAGGGGGTGGGGAGGAGGGGAGGGGGGGGAGGAGGGGGGTGGAGGGGAGGGGGGTGGAGGGGAGGGGGGAGGAGGGGGGGTGATGGAGGGAGGGGAGGAGGAGGGGTGAGAAGGAGGGGGGAGGAGGGGGGGGAGGGGGGAGGAGGGAGGGGAGGGGGGAGGAGGGGGGAGGAGGAGGGGGGGAGGAAGAGAGGGGGGGGGTGATGGAGGGAGGGGAGGAGGAGGGGGTGAGAAGGAGGGGGGAGGAGGGGGGGAGGAGGAGGGGGGGAGGAAGAGGGGGAGGGGAGGAGGAGGGGGGGGGGAGGAGGAGGGAGGAGGAGGGGGGGAGGAGGTGATGGAGGGGATGGAGTGAGGGGAGGTGATGGAGGGAGGGGAGGAGAGAGGGAGGGGAGGAGGAGGGTGGAGGGAGGGGAGGTGATTGAGGGAGGGGATGGGGGGAGGTGATGGAGGGAGGAGGGGGAGGTGATGGAGGGGGTTGGAGGAGAAGTAGGTGATGGAGGGGGTGGGAGGAGGAGAAAGTGATGAAGGGAGGTGATGGAGGTAGGAGGTGAGGGTAATGGTTGGTGGTGGATGTTGGGGAGGGGGGGTTAGAGGCTCGTGCCAGACTGCCACAGCCTTGACGGGTGGCATGAAATGTAATTTTGTTGTAATATTGCAGTGCGACGTGTGTGTGTGTGTGCAGTATTGATCAAAATACCCCAAAAAAAGTACGTGCAACATTACAATACGTAGGGGAAGTTAACACAATTTTTTTAAAGTGTCGTGTTTTAAGCAGTGGCACTTTACACCCCCCCCCCCAAAAAAACAACGTGCTCATTTTGCTCAAAACCACAGTCCAATTTAAGGCCGTGGCGATGTGACCACCTGTCACCTGCACACAAGTTTGCAGAGCGGTGTTTGAAATCCCAGCATATTTGCTTTACGACCGCATTGCATATACTAAACACGCATTGTTCGATATGCATACAGGAATGCAGCAAACACAATAATTAAATACATGGGAAGGCGTTAAATCAGCAGTAGATCGAGCATGACTTATGATGCTATATTGAAACTATATGGCAAATGCTTCGTCCACGTGTATGACCACAGCACTATATTTGTCATGTATACACGTGCAGTCCTTTTGTTAATCCACTGCTGGATTAAGGCCACCCCGTGACTGTGCAGGTCGTGAAAGTCATTTCCACGATGGTCAGTGCGGTTGTGACAAAGGTGGAGAGGGGGGGGGGGGCATAGACGCGGAGAAGTGCAGTACAACTATGTGTGTTGTCGCTGACACCAATGCATTCCTTCTGTAGCCCGCCACATGAGACGGACCTGTTATTGCAGTTTACAAAGGTCGCGTTGGCTACAGCACTCCCGAGAACAACTCAAGTTGCTTGCCAAAGTGGCCACGTTGATGAAAAAACTTTACTTTTGCATTCACTTACCGCATTCGTGAAGATAACCTGACACACACTTGCTTTGCATACAACATTGTTTTGGAATCGCGCAAATTTTTTTGGGTGAACATTTGCCCATAAATTGTTTCCGGGCTATTTGCACAATAACAGGAAACAAATAAAGTGTCCTTTAAAAAAGAAATGCGTTATCAGATCTAGATACCCCTACACCAGGGGTCGATCGGACACCTTTCAAAGAAGATACATATTTCGTTGTGTAGTTTGTCTTTGACCAAAATAGGTTTAGAGCCACACCACACGCGCAGCAGGTTAAACACGTTGTAGAAGTAGTGGCAATTTCGCGACCAATATTATCCATCATAGTTTTTGTTTGGGGTTTAGATCGCGTAAATATATAAATGTGTCGTTAAACCCGCCGCCACCCAACACAGCCAATTAGTAAGGTTTGTCACGGAAACAAAACGTGCCACACTTCGTTACTAGTTCAGCAGCAGATGATATATCCTGATTTAAATAAACTAAATGTGCGATGGAATAAATTTCGTCTATCCCCCCCCCTCCTCCCTGTAGTTATTCTCTAACAGATTGACTGTTGCACATGTTGTCGTCACCAAGACATTCCACAGTGACCCGTTCCCTGCCATATTGAATCAATTATCTTTACCTTGAATTACGTTTTAAGATTTAAGTTTAGTTTTTTTTTAACGGCTGCCCGCAATGGGGAAGCCAAAGAGCCGCAATATGCGGCTCCGGAAACGCATGTTGCCAACCACTGCCCAGTGCCGGATTATGTTTTATAAAGGGGCCCTAAATAAAATAAAAAACGCCTACATATTAAAACACAATTTTTAACTTGCATAGTAAAGTTATTGTATTTTTTCATTTGCTATACAATCCAGATAATCGCTAACCTTAAACACCCAGACGTTCATAAAAGTTGAAGGCGGTATAGTACTTTAGTAATAGAGCAAGTGCAGAATCACTGAACCGGAATTGATAGCTTGAAAACATTTAGCTCGGGGACCTTGAAAGTGCGGGCCTCGTAGAATATGTAGATACTTTTGCTACTAGGATCACCGCCACTGCCGGATGATACAAGTAGCCAAGGAGCAGTATTTGCCGTGAACATGATGCGGAAACCAATATTCATCGAAGACTGTTTTAATACAATGCTCCCAAGAGGGCAGTGCAGTGACATCCATTGTTGTACTGGTCTTATATGCTCCCACGTAAATGATCTCTGGATTTATTTCAACCCGTACTAACCTGGGTGGTGAAGTTTGGTCAAACAAACCCCGCAGTGGGAACACACCACTTTATTTGAAAAAAATATTTAAATTGTATTTCCACGTGTGAATGGCTAATGTTTACCCGGTGGGGGTGTGACCAGATGTTTGTCTTTTGACACCGGACACAAATATGGGGTGCGTCTTGCTTTTCAGTACTGTGTAGGAAATCTAATGATGTATTATAATCTGTTGGCGAATTGACGGTAGCGTTATGGAACCCTAAAAAACAGTGGAGCGTGGTGGACGGATGGATTTGAGTAAGGGGACCCGGGTGGCATCATCTGTGAGCGTGCCCCATAGATGCACGTATGTTTTGTTTAAAAGTGATGACCTTACCTATAACTCTGCACTCCTATCGTGCTTTTTGTATTAGGGGCCGTCCATAAATGACGTCACGCACAGGGGGGGGGGGGGTCAGACATTTGTAACGATGTGACGAGGGGGGGGGGAAATGTGACGTCACATCAAAGTGCGCAACTTTAAATAAATATAGACACGTTCTACTTAATTAAATCGACTTTTTAATAAATGTGTTCTCCTACAACATCAGAGTGCAGCGCCACATTAAATACGCACTACAATGACAATAGTTTAAAGCGATTTGAAGCATGTTTTTTTGGGGGGGGAGGGGGGCAGTTTTGTGATGTCATATTTGAGGGGGGGGGGGGTCTGACTTTTTGTGACGCCGTGTAACGAGGAGGGGGGGGGGGGGTCAAAAATCGTACAAAATCGCGTGACGTCATTTATGGACGGCCCCTTATTTGTTGTTGTGACGTTCCGAGCTTACCCCCCCCCCCCCCTTTACCGCACATCTGTGCAACAACAACAACAAAAAGCTTATACAGCTCTTCGGAATTCCTCCTCCAGCGCATTATATACATTCTGAGCCACAGCAGAGGTAACAAACGGAGATTCCGACGTTCTGCTTCTGCGCTGCTGTCAGACGGTTAGACGGGCGCGGGGGACGCTGCGCGCGCGCGCGGTCACCCGGTGCCACGTGCGTGCGCGCGCCCCACAATGGCCACGTCAGCGCCTCGCGCACGTGGCCCAGCTACGTCACGCAACTGCCCCGCCCCCATCCCCATCAACGATTCCCCATTCCTGAACAGATCTTTTAATAAATTTCTTAAGAATGTATTGTATAGTGACTGTAGCGGCCTCTGGTGGCCAACATTATAGTAGGCTGTCAAGTTTTCAAGTTTAAGTTCATTTATTAGGTATAGCCCTGTGAGCCATTCGGCTCTTGAATCGGGTGCAACCGCAACAAACAAAAAACAAAAAAATTAACAAAAAACATCTTAAAGTGAGTATGTGACTAAGTGCAAACAGAAAATAAAAAAAAACATCAAAATATTGCAGAAAAAAACCGTACACCAACGCTGTGTGCAAAAATCCCAGTGGGATTTTCCCAGTAAGTTTTTTTTGTGGGTTAAATGTCGTTAAACTCACCATCACCCGACACAGCCAATTAGTAAAGGGTTGTCACGTTAACATAACGTGGCCAACTCGTTACTAGTACAGCACACCGGTTGTGTGTTGGAGGGCAAAGCTACAACATTTACAAGCTGAGTACGACGTTTCGTCGGTAATTACAACTAGCATCATCAGGCAACAGCCAGATTTGTGGATACATCCTCCTGTAAGCCAATCTTACTAATTCGCTGTGTCGGGTGGTGGCGGGTTTAACGACACATTTATATATTTATGCGATGTAACCCAAAAAAACTATGGATTATTACTACTACTTAAACTACTTTTGTATATAGCCGATGGAAATGCAGAGCATCGACAATTTGACATTCAGGTGATCAAGCCCAGAGGAAAGTGTCAGCAGCAGCGGAGTGTATCGCTGATGTCTCCTTCATATTTGTGGATCGTGGCATTGCGTCGTTATATGTTGTCACGGTCTGTTCTGGATGACCACAGTCGCACGCTGGAGAGTTGCAGTTTACATTTGTGCATCAGGTATCCGCATCTGCTGCCATGGGTTGTGCGGATGCGGTTTTGGGTGGACCATGAGCTTTGTGGAAGATAAAACCCAGGGATGTTAAACTACCAAACACTTTTATTTTAGCAGGTAAGGCCCACGGAGCTATATAGCTCTTTTTAAATCTTTATATTAAGTTCGCTTGCTTGCTTGCGCGCTTACGACCATGCAAATCATTCGGTCGTTTTTTTAACCCACTTCCCGTGATGCAATCGAGCTGAAATTTTGCACACAGACTCGTTGTGTGTGACAATTTATTTTCGTGAAACAAATTTTCCAAAATTTTCCACTTTTTAGGATTTTTTTTTTCATATTTAATTTAAAATACCAATGTGATAAAAATGAAACTCTTACTCAAGAAAAACAGAAATGAATAATAAAATAAAACAGATGCCACGCATATAAAGGATTTATAGTGAAAAACTTTGTTTTTACGGGTTAATTTTTTCAGAAGCCACATGGCCCAAATTATAGCTCAACGAAGCATGGCTGATGTGGACATTTTTTTTTATCAGCCAACTACTCAATACGCACGGTGGTTCTAAATATGGAGGTAAAACTGGAGGACCCGGAGAAAAATCCACACGACCACGGGGAGAGAAAACGTGCAACCTCAAAATGTACACGTGTAGAGGAGTAGTGGGATGACGTCATGTCATCTATTCTAGATTTGAAGTTTTCGTAACTGCAAGGATTCATACTGTAGTAATAGGTTTTTACCCTTTTAACTGGTAAAAAATCTGACACCTTTATACAAGGCATCATGTTCGCAAACATGATTTTGTACCAGTTAAAAGGGTAAAAACCTATTACTATATTTTGCCACTGGTAAAGGAGATCTCATAGGATTCATACTGTTTTTTTTCGGTAAAGTCACGTAGGTAAAAAATTAAATAAATTAAATCACGATGTTTCGGAGACAACACAATCTTCGTGAAGACGGAAGCTTGTGTTGCCTCCGAAAAGGTCGTGATTAAATTTATTTATTTTACCTACGTGACTTTACCGAAAAAACCAAAGAGTATGTCATGTCATTTGTAGAGGTGTGGGATGACGTGTGATGTGATAACGTCACGTCATCGAGGCGGCATGGTACTTAAGTGGGACCCCCTGGGACGAGGTCGCCGTGGGGAGTGAGAGAGGGAGGGGACGAGAGCTGAGAGATGTGCGTGTGAAGAACAGAGTTCAGTCGTGTGTAAGCGTCGAGTGTATAAGAGTGTGTAACAGTTGTGAATAAACGGCATTGCAGCCCTATGTAAGAATCCTCGTCTCCGTCTGGATGTACAAGTCTCCTGGGTGTCACGAGTTACTACACTGCACGTGTGTCAGGATAAAACCCCCACGTCCTGTAACCATGAATTGAGAACAATACAAATTCGACATTGTAGTAAATGTAGTGGCCTCTTGTGGCTGCAGAGAATCACGTGGCCATGTTATATTAAACACATTTATAATTAGCCATGATTGTTAATTTTCGATTTAAAGCTTTCGTGACTGCAAGGATTCATATTGGTTCTTTCGGTAAAGTCACGTAGAAGGGATATAATAAAAATAAAACAAAATCTCACAACGTTTCGGCCACAAAGCAAGCAGCCGTCCTCACGTCGTGAGAATTATTTTATTGTTTTATTTTTATTATTGTATTATTTCCCTTCTACGTGACTTTACCGAAATAACCAAGAAGATGATTGTTAATGTTTTAAAACGCATGTTGTGCTGAATGTAGCGGCATCTTGTGGCTGCAGGGATCACGTGAATCCCGGTGCAAATAACACGGCACGTTAAATTCCATTCTCAATCCACCAATGGATAAAGGCCTCTCTCCACGCCATGGTGGTCATGGGTGCTTTTTGACCATACTTCACCACGATGGTCAGTACAGGTTGGTGATGGGCAGGTGGCATTCAGCATCTGGTTCAGGTAACACTCGCCACTGATGTCACTTAGACACTCACTGAATATACCATACCCCCTGATAAGGTGTTCTCAAACATCTGTATTCTGCCAGGAGGGGACAATGATTGCGGTGTAATTAATTACTGATTGCTGTGTAATCGAAGAAGTCACACTCTGCAGTCATTACGTTATTTCATTTGTTTATTTTATTGTGCAACAAGTCATTTCAAATCAAAAACAGCTCAATCTCTTAAACACATTAAAATGTAACAGTCGAAATATTCCACATGTAACAAGCACAGCCAAAGCAGTGTTAATGTACAAAATAGTACAGAGCAGGGCATTATACATTTATAAAATTAACGGTTCAAAACACTAAAAATATACCTTAAGAAATAGAATTTTAAACAACATCATTGCTGTATATATTAGTCCTTATTCCACAAAATATTTTACATTAAATATGACTGGCTCATATCAATACAGTACTTAACAGTAGTTTCACATATAACCAGAGTGAAAACAGAAACAAAATATATCGGTAAACATCACATTTATAAAATTGCAGATCTTGGTTGAAGTTTTGACTTGGCATTGCACATCACACAGTAACAACCCCAAATATAGTTCACACCAAATGCAAGGAGCCACCATATGAAAGGAGGTAAGTTAAAACATCATATTGGTATCTGGATTGACACTTGCCGATATAAAAATTGTCCAAAATATGTGCGCAATTGTTTTTGGACTGTCGGTATAACACCATGGACATGGGTCTGTTTCACCACTTTAGGCCCAGATGGTGATGGGCTAAAATTATATTAATTTGATGCAGTGTTTATGTTTATATTACATACAAATTGAGGGGTAAACTGTGAAAAAAACCCTGATAACTGACAAAAGATCATTGTCCAAGCAGTAGGGCATTGCTGACTGTAGCCAGATTAGGCAGATGAAACAAGTAAATTATTAAGTTCATTGTGAGGCCATCTGTAGGGAGATTACATGGATTGTCATGTATTTCAATAACACCAGCTCGGGGTTGTATTAAAACGCTAATGTTGACCAGGGCACCTCCCCCAGTTGAATCGTTCATCATCACATGGAAATCCACAAAGGCATCTGCACACGTAGCCATTTATTGTTACAATAAAATTGACTTATCAATGCGACTAAAGTCCACAATGAACTCCGCTAGCCACAGGGCATGGGCAGAGTTTTCTCAAAATGAACTCAAAGTTTTGCACAGATGGATGCATTATTCTTGCTCTACTACCGTCTACTCGGCCCCTTGCAGCTCGGTAAAGTTTTACAAATGTGATAGTCCACCTCTCGATTCCAAAAATGCTGGATCCAATTTGTTGTTGTTAATGGATCTGTACAAATTTAATATTGGCACACTGCATATATATTTTCAGACATCAAAAGATTGATCCGTCACCTCTGGATACGCTGTCTCAGTGGCTACTGCTTTGACCACGAGGCTATCAGGCAGGCAAATGCTTTGTGCATTTGCAAGGAAATATAATAATTCATTCTCTTTCCTAGTGGTGATGTTTAAATCAAAAGCTATTAGCTTTTGATTGATGTCAGGTAACGATATACTCGTGCAATAGAGTGGTGGCTCTTGCAAGAAATCATTACGTTAGAGCTATGAGCAACACAATGCAATTATAGAGATTAATAATGCCACATACAAGGCTGCTGAAGTTGCACAACTGTGGGCATTTAGTTCACTGAGCAATTCTGGGCCATCGAAGCAAAACCCAATCTGGCTCTCCGCATCAAGCAACAATTCAATAAAGTATCGATCACCTAGGATATGAAGGACGAGTATTGACTGTCAAGTAAAATATAGGCTATAATAAGGACCTACAAATGTAAATTCCTCAACCATTAAGTGTAACGAACTGGGTAGCACGACACATTTCTTTAAAAATACCGACAGTCCATTTGCCATTACAATTACTTTTAAAGCAATTCGTCTCTTGGAAGGGTGCATAGATACTTTGGATAAAGCCGTGTCATTGAAAGATACTCAGATTAAACATTGTGCCAAATCAATTCCGATAGATTGCTTCAAGCAATGACTGTCAAAACTGACTGATTTTGTTGATAAAATCAATAAGACACTGTGAATACTGATTACTTTGAGTTACAGTTAAGTCACTTGTCTCAGAAATTGCACGGCGAACACATTACACTATGGTCACTATCTCGTCCGCCTTTCTTTTGACCTTGCATACAATAAGCTACGGCATTAAGAGAGCCAAGGTTTTAGAATGAGTGGCACTGCAATTGTCTCGATAGGCAACCAGGTAATGTAGTAAAGATCTATTATCTTTTGATTATTGGTGTAGATAACCATGTGACAGTAGTGCTTCCATGCTCATCAATAACATGTTCACATGTTAAGCATAATAAAAAAGGACGGCTCAAATGTCAGTTGTAATGTTGTGTAGGTTTTCACGGTTGTGCCGGAGAGCTCTCCAATTCACTGCGTTTTTGGTACGACGACAAAAGCACACTCAGACAGCTCAATTGTCAGATGGTCAAACATACTGCAGTGGAGAAATATTGTCAAGGGCACCGCAACATACACAGCATTATTTATTATTAAGCCCACTAAAATGTTCACCCCAAATACAACTAATCCCACATGCGCACGCATTCATCCTTTGGCTGACGATCAGCAAATGAACCTGATCGCACGCTTGAAAAATGCAGAATTGGTGTGATACAATGACTGGGTGGGGTGTGACCAAAGATATCTCGGCGCTAATAATAAGCTCAGTGCACCCGCATGGAAATGTGAACATTGCGTACCAAATGAGACCGGTAGATAGCAGCAGTGCTTCAGACTGGTGCTCCAGCGTAAGCATGCAGTGTATCAATCACTGTGCACAAAGTTGAACTATAATTACCCTTTAGTCACGCGGAATTTCCCCCACAATACCCTGCACGCCCAATAGAGGGCGTGCAAGTGTACGTGTTTATCCACCAGACTTGACATGTTATGAGTGACATTTTTAAATATTTGTTATTTTACCGGGTAAGGCCGACTGAGATATACAGTTCTTTTTCAGCAGCGACCTGGCTCTGCGAAGTGGTTCATCACGTGGAAATGTAATGCAGTCAAATAATCTTAAATGCGTATTGCTAAATGTGGGAGGGAAAAACCGGAGGAACAAGAGAAAAATCCAAGTTGCCACGGGGAGAACACGCAAACTCCAAATATATAGGTGCCAGGGTCGGGATCGAATCCACGAGCTCTTGCATACCAGGCGAGGTAGTTAACATTTCGCTACCATGGCGCCCCATAACGTGTTGTTGCAGTAACGCAGTGGTATGTTTGTTGAACTTCTTTCACACCGTACGTAGCCGACTGTGCTAATAGGTGTGACAAACGACTTGGGATAAAGCCGTGACATTGAAAGATACTCAAATTAAATGATAAGACGACTGCACAATATAATGAAAGTAACAGTAGTTAATTTCTGGCTTCTCAATTTCATTATATTTTCACTCTGTAGTGCCTCGATCGTGCAATGCGGCAGTTATACGTACCCGGTCCTCCATACCCATCACAATAAGTGCACCTGATCACATCAGATCTTAGAAGCAGGGTTTGAAGCTGGTTAGTAGTTGAATGGATGACAAACAGGGCAAGTTGTAGACATAGGAGTGCAAGGTGGACAGAATGTTCCGGCAGTATTGTGAGTTGCTCTCTCGTGCAAGTGAATCTTTCTCCTGGTACAATGATTTCCTCCCATATGCCAAACGCTTATTAATGCGGCTCTAAGTCAAACAATAAACAACGATGATAATGAAGTATTAAGTCACTCATTAAACACTCAAATGTCAATTAATGGAACTGGTCAAACATCCCAGTGCAGGACCCTCCTGAAAAAAGATTGGAGACTCAGTGAGCATTTTCTGGAAACATAAATGGTAAATATTTGGCATTTTTTAAATTGTATGCGACAGCCTAAAATGTTGTTAAACAGCCTTAAATCCTTTCCATCTGATGATAAACCTTGGCAGCAAGCGAGCTCCTCCCATAGTAATGGGGATATTTAGCTTTCTCCGGCTACAGCTGCAATCCAGTTGATGAATGCACTGATCCGTTGACAGCGGCCAAGCAGTGGTTAGTGCAATGCACTCCGATCCCAGGTGACACGAGTTCACTTGCTGGTCATGGCTAACAGCAGTTAAGAGTGATGTCTGAACTGATCCTGGGCACTCCCTCCACCAACCAGCATCTCAAAGTATAGCTAAACAACCCCCATGACCGAAAGGTTTGGAGGTCTTCATCGAGCAGTGGATTAATAAATGGCAGTATATATTATATTGCATTAAAATTGTTTCACAGGCTCGTACGATGGGCTTTTTAGAGACACATCCGTTTTGATATGCGGGCCAGTGTTCCACCCACACCATGAACATGGGCTAATGAAACAGCAGCCGGCTCAGGCCAATGGGAAATCCAGCCCTGGCAGATTATGCTCTCTTGGGTCACGCTTGAGCCCAGGTGGAATTATCATCTTGGCAAGCAGAGAAGGCTTTCACTGGACACTGTGCTTTCTGCTGGTCCTCTGAAGAGCTGGCAATCGATCATAGATAATCAAAGTCAGTCCCTAAGTCTTGACTGAAATTGACATTCACACTTTTGTTCCACGGATTCCTGCAGTTAGCCGCCATTCAATACACTAATTGTTAAATGTGCAAAGAAAAAGACTGCTTGCACAATCTGCCGAAATTTCCTAGCAACCATTATTATATTAGTGCCTTTCATAAACATCCAAGGGACACATTCTTTGGGTCTTTCGGTAAAGCCACGTAGATAGAAAACATAATCAAAATAATAACAATATCACGACGTTTCGATCACAACACAAGTGATCTTCTTCAGGTTAAAAAAGAGGGGGAAATCTGCCGAGGCAGGCTGTTTATAAGTGTTGATGGCAGCAACAGCCTGGGAATGACTGCATCGTGCCACGTGATGTAACGTTTACTTTAACGGTGGTGCAATGCCGTTCACCATGCCAGGCATATGTGTGCCAGTCACAACCAAGACTGTAGTCCACATGTGTACATTACAACTAAAGCAATAGCAAATAACACATAATTGAGTAATTATGGTCTAGTGTCCACTTAAAATGAATATTGACCCTCACCAGGGTAAAGGACATTCCATAACTGCACATCATTAAATGGCGATGTGTATCATGTTTGCGAGATTAAAAAGAAAACCTGCACTGCTCGATAAGACTATACGCAGTTTGGTGTAGAAAGTGGCTCATCATTAATGTCACATTGACAATTACGGAGGCTGCATAGCCCATCACAAGCTATCCTCGCCCGGTGATTGTCCGTACGGCATGCTACATTTAACTGATAAATTATTCAACCATTAGCTGGAGCAGTCTGCTGTGTCACCCAACCACTGCGGCTCATTTTGCTGCCTGACACACATCAGTCGAGGTGCCTCACATGATACTGTGCGTGTGCGCCGTGACCAGCGGCATCCACATCGAACATTACCAAATAATCTACGAACAAGTAACATTTAAGATTGACATCGTATGTAAAAACCTATTTAAGTGTTTAGATTTGACAGTTTTTCTAACAGAGATTTGTTTGTACGTTTAATTATTTTAGGGTTATAAAAAGCCCATCTGTCTATTTCCCTTTATAAAGCGTATATGCCGACTGCTCTTGAAATAACCTTGGTATTAGGTTGTATCTAAATGATATAAAAGACCAACGTGTATTGTATGTGTGATGTAAATTACCAGACGAGCGAGTAAGTTCGAGCACAAAGTCTGTGCCAACAAGCCTTTGATGACGCAGTGTATATATGTGCATATAGAGACACAATTTCAGGAGTATATAACAGCACAGAGTCAAAGGGCCAGATTCTGTTATTGACAAATGTAAATTTCCGTCAGTTTATGTCAAAATGTTCCGAGGTCTCTGTATCAATAGCTGGGCAAATCGATGAAGTATTGCAGACAATTTGTTAAGGTGGGAATCTGGCCCAAAGTGTTCCATGCTCAAGTGTGCGACGGGCGGCAGTGCTCATTGCTGTTGACGGTTTGCAGCCAGCGATGGATATTTCAACGACCCGAAAGTGGATCAGTTCATCCATGGGCTAACAATTTCTGACTTCCTACCAACTCGCATTATCAAGGTGCTATTCATTTTCATGACCTCACAGGGATTGTGAGGCTGTCACTCATGATCGGGATTTAAAGTCGCGTCGTGATTAAAAGCTTGTCGCTCTCAGTGCCAAGTTTTAATTCTACAAATGTGCACTATTTATATACAAATTTAAGTCACGGCCAAACATTAAAAAGCCGGTATTTAAGACAAGTCAACATGTACGTCACTGCTTCTGGATAGTGTAAATCTACACAAATTGCCTTCATACAAAGTGATGAATGTAGTTTTCAGAATCACAGTCAACAAACCTGAATAGCTCACAACGGAGTGAATATGTAAACGATTTAACAAGAGCTGCATGAAAACATCACCTCTACAACTGATCATTCTAGTGATGTTGCTTGGATTTTTCCACAGTGATAGAGAGGCTTTGGGATGCATGGAGGGGTCTAAAGGCATGCCGGGAGAGAGTCTTGATGTCAGGCTGAGGACACGGCAGAGGTCGCAATCGGGTACCCGATACCCGTACCCTACCCGATACCCGGCTACCCGCACCCAGTCGGGTACGGGTACGGGTACCCGTTTGCGACCCTGGTGCGGCCGGGTACGGGTAGGCCGTGAGTCACTGGTGAGTAACTGTTTGTCACTCATTTCCCAACGTCTTGTCTCTTCTCACGATTCAAGTTCCTAGAATAAACCCACCCGCGCCTGCAACATGGCTTCATCCCAGAGGTCGCAATTGGGTACCCGTACCCGTACCCTACCCGATGCCCGGCCGGGTACGGGTAGCCGGGTAGCCGGGTATCGGGTAGGGTACGGGTACCCGTTTGCGACCCTGGTGCAGCCGGGAATGGGTACGGGTAAGGAATCAAAACCCGTTTGCGACCTCTGGGACACGGAAGTCATACGTAGACAGCCAGGGAGGCCACACATTGGCATGGGGAGACATGTGCAGGCTACCTAAGACGCTGTTAGACAAGTGAAGGCGTGGGGAGAGAAGCGGGCACACAAAGACATATAACCCGGGACAAAGGGGAGACACCGTGAAATGCTTAATTCCAATGTACACTCACCCACTGCCACATTGCTGATACAACACGGACAATGCTGTTGAACCCAGAACAATTAAAAAATAAGTGCAAACGTGCACCAGATAGTGAGTTGTATTTAAGTGCAATCACAGAGGAGTACAATTAGTTCGCCACTTTTTGTTCTAGCCACGAAGAACGCACAGGGTCTGCTGAGCGGTGCACACGAGCAAAACACGCATAGCAGCAATAATCGGCATCAGCTGAGCGTGCGCAGTGAAGCGGTGGCATTGCGGTTAACACACACCGCTACCACAGTCACAGTGACCAAGGTTTACTGTGGACCATATGTCCAACATCGGTGACAGTTGGTAGATGAATTTAGCCTGTGGCCTCTCTTTGGTTGAATTAGCTTGCAACCAGGTACCTGCTGCGTGGGTACGGTCAACTCCAGTGCTGGGGGAAATATTGGCGTTGGTCAAACCTAAACCAAATTATTTATTTATTTAACCAGGTAAGGCCCACCGAGCTATGTAGCTGGCCACAAATCACAGCTCAACGAAGTGGATTATCACGTGGATAGCAAACTTATAAACGTCTGTTTCTAAATGTGGGGAGGAAAGAAACTGGAGGAACCAGAGAAAAGTCCATGTGACCATGGGGAGAGACACGCAAACCCTAAATATACAGGCATCTGGGTCGGGATCGAATCCACGACCTCTTGCATACCAGGCGAGGTAGTTTGCATCTCGCCACCGTGGTACCGAGTTGTGCATTATGTTATCCGTAACAGGCGCTTCTTAATGGCACTTGCCCTGGCAGTGTGAACAGGAGATGGTTTCTACTTGTGCAATGCATATCATCCTATTGCCACTTCCACACAATCTGTTTTAATAACAATAATAATAAAAAAATACCCCTTGTAATTGTAAAATGTATTTACAGATGAATTTACAGAGTGTTTACAATTGCAAATGGCTGTCCGTAGTGCACAGCAAAGCTGGTTTGCTCTACAGCGGTTGTGCTATGAAGATTCAGTCAATGTGCATCAGTATTCTTAGGTTTTTTCGGTAAAGTCACGTAAGAATAAGAATATGAATCCTTGCAGTCACGAAAGCTTCAAATCTAGAATTAATGTGCATCAGTGCATGTTTAGTCTGTGTGCAGAGGCAAGTTTAAACAAGCGGTTTTGTTATAGTGGTTTTAAGGCATTGCATGTGTATCCAGGCTCTTTAAGATACACACACGAACTCAATGCAATAACACTGGTCAACAAAAAAACATTTTTTTTTGGCCTGGACTTTTGCAGCTGTTTTAGACTAATTTCAGGGTGCTGATTCCAAATCTGATCTCAGATTTGCTCTATCACATCTCATTTTTATGCTATCGGCATACCCCATTTTCATTGATTTTACCCGAAATTAACTCTGCCACTTATGATTGCAAGTTGTTGCGAGTCAGTGACTGATTTAGTGTTAATATATGGTGCTGTATTTATAGGATAGTGTGTTTATAATATCATTTTATGTAGATATCCACATTTTATATTTTTCTTCTGCAGTTTTTATTGAAAATGCAATATTTGATATCTCAAAAACCTGATGTGATAGACAAAAACTGATGCCAGATTTGGAATCAGCATCCCAAAATTACCTTAAAACTGTTAAAATACCTTATGCCAGAAAAAGTGTGTTGACCAGTGTAATTGCTGATTTAGCAGTCGATGGTGTAACATATCTCCATAGCATGGACGTTCTGATCTAAGCGGAAGCATAAAACTACATAACATCACCTCCACGATAGCATGCTACACTTATTCAAAACATGTTTTACCATTCAAGCTTTCCATTTTCGTGCTCACGGGCACCCTCTGGGAGGGACCGAGCATGACTTCACAATCGCTCGTCGTTCTGAAATTCCAGTGGCTTTAGCGGTGGCATGCCGAGTTTAGTAGTGCCATTTATTTATCGAGAAATCCCCGTTAAGTGCCATGCATCAAGATTACCAAATAAGAGGCGACATTTTTTCTATCGTTGGCAGGCTCAGTTCATTGGCTCCTAAACCGATCATACTGGATTAAGTCATTAAAGTTAATCGATGAATATAAGTGGCTCTTAGCCAAAAGGGTCTTATCCACTTGGCCAAAGTGTGTTGTGTACTTTGACCTCCTATTGGATGTAACTATCTGCTTCTGTAAATTACATCATTGTTATGAAAGCAAATAAGTAAATTGCTTGAATGGGTACCTAAAATGAAATAGCGTTTCATCCAAAAACCTCCAGGTATTCCTGATAGTTGCTGCCCAGAATCATTTGTTTAAATAGGAAAACCAATGATGGGCTCTGACTTCACCGAGGCTCATTGGTAACAGCGTGGGCTATAAAACGAATGCCATTGAGCACCCCTGGATGTTATCGCCATCTGCGAGCAATGTCTGCTCATTCTACCACGAGATAAAATAGATCCAATCCATGATGACACCTTAAAAACATTACAATCACTTCCCTGTTGGCTACATGTGGGACACATAACATGGTTGACAATTCATCCACAACATCAAGGCTTATAAAGCTATGTTAAGCCTGATTGACATATACAGTTTGCATCTGTCAACAAAAAAACCCCCTTAAAACTGAATGTATATACAGGATAAACATAATAACCCCTCGGGCAGAGAATGGACATTTCATTTAAAGTTAGTGTATTAGTTACAAGGCAGTTTAGTAATGAGCATAGTTGTAAACTATATTCAGCCTAGCAGCTTCGAAGCCACTGGCAACAGAGTCGTTGGCACGAAGAGCAGCGAGGTAAAATCGCTGCGGTGCACATTTGACCCTTGTTAGGGACGTTGCAACACAGCAGTGCACAAGTCTGCCTTCCTGAAACTTTGGGCTTCTCCATCGCAATGGCCCATTCTAAGCCCCGAAACCTCGTGCTTAAAAAGTGTAAACACCATCTTATTTCACTTGAGCCTATTTCATAAATAACTAACATACAAGTGATACAAAAATCATGCATATTTTAAAAGAAAGGAGGCTAAAACTACGGACTTAACCTTATACGCATGACCCAGACGTGGCAGGGTGGCTCAGAAGTCTAATGTCCATGTTACACTGGTCGTGCCAAACTCGACACTACGGAGATCTTAAACCTGGTCGCCACGTAACCATTTTTACAAACCTACAACAGAGTGATGATGATTATTTCAATTGGTCTCTGAAGTCACTCCCTGAATGAGCTAAGAGCGTTTTGTTTCAAAGCGTACTATTGTTTTACATGATACCAGCACAACAAAAGCATAGTAAAGCATAGTCTGGTGAATAGACCAATCAGTGATGACAATGACATCATTGTTTGATTGATGTCTCGCACCTAGCAATTCAATCAGTCCACTGGGAAATTACCCAACGCTTCTCTCGGCTTCTCAAGACACTGTCAACAAAGTTCAGAGTGAACCACTGGTTTCAATACACAGCAATTTAAGCTAGAATCTTTCTGTGTCGCTCTGTAAACTTTGCAGTGCGGACCAGTAATTAGGTTTTTAATCCACACCTTCACAGAACGTGACTTTGGTCATCTTGACCATCGTGTAAACACTGTAATAACACCGTTTCATTTGAGCACACTGCATCTATCGATTAATAGGCAACTATGAGAGATTGGCCCAAAGCACAGCTGAAAAAATAAAGAGTGCAAATCCAGTACTCCCGTAAGCTATGCCTATGGGCAAATATTCGACCGGGGTTTTCATCTCACAGACATGTCATCAATTCCACAATGCGACACATTGTGGAATGCACACATTGTGCTTATGCAGGGAGAATCAATAGATACAATATAAGAAACTTGTTCAAATATGTAAATAGAAACCTCAAAAGCTTTGTCATTAACACTGCCGTATTGCAGAAAAATATACGTTCAGGTCCAATATTTCTGGCAATCATCTTTCGTCAGTACGGCGAGAGAGTGGCAGTGACCAATTTAAACAATATGAACAAATTAATAAGCAATAAACAGGCAAGAGTAAAAATAACTTAACATTCTAGTCCATCGACCGATGGGTCTTGAGGACCAATGTCATGCCACAGTGGATGCTTTAGTGGCCACGCTCAAGGCCGCTTCGACTCTCATGCTCTCATCAGTCGGCCCCGTTGAAGAAATGCTGAGCATACAACTTAACGAGCGAGCGATAAAATAAATTATTTGGTGATATATCGCATTGGCGGTGGTGCACAAGCACAAACAACGAAAAAACTCAACACGTTTGTCGCCTTAAAAGGAGATGTACGAGGTGACATTTCGGGCAATGGCGCTTCTTCACATCACCTGACGTGCTATATTCTTCCTCTTTGGGCAGTGCTAACGATGCGTGTGCGGCAGTGGTGAATTCTTTATACACGATGAGAGGTATAAGGCAGCGAAACGACGAGGCTTCCTTTTTGTCCGTGCCGAGTACACAACCGTCAATGCAGTCCCTTCGTTCGTATGCACGAGTGAGTATGTTTGCACATAGTAACTATAAGATGCATTCTTGTTCATGTTTTTGTTTTTTGTTTGTTGCGGTTGCACCCGATTCAAGAGCCGAATGGCTCACAGGGCTATACCTAATACATGAAACTTGATGCCCCTGTGTGCCGTTTCCCTTCCATTGTAATAAAGATTAATTGAGTGGAACATTAAACAATTATATCGTCCATTATTCGAGCTTTACACATGTAAAAATAACCCACCACAACTATTCCCTTTACAAGAACGGGCCCTGGGTGGCACGCTAAACGAAGCTTCTCACACTCACAAGACCAGGTCTGAGGACAACCAGAGCATGAGCAGAGGCTGCACGGCGGCGATGGCCACGGTGAGGTACATGCGCAGGCGGCCCGCGGAGACGCTCTGCGCCCTGCCCGTCACGTCCATGTCCGGTAGGATCTTCAGCCTCATCGTCTGGATCTGCGCGGCATTGGCAAAACAACGGGGAATCACAAGGTGGACCGTGACTGGCAGTGGGACGCTAAAATGATTGCGGCGCACGTGCAGCATGGAGGAGAGCAGGTCACCACCAAGTCAGACATTTGATCAGGTACCCAGAGGTCGCGTACATGACCAAATCAGAGCGTAAGACCAAACCATCAGGAATGCACTTGATAGCAGATGGAACACTTTGGCGATAAAACATTTACCTGCCAACTGGAAAGCATTTCATCATCGAATCCATTACTTGTCTAGTTTTGTAAGGAATGTGTGACGTTTAAAAACGTCATGCGGAGTGTGTAACTTGACCTATAAGAGATTGCCATTGTGCTGTGCGCTGGCTGTCAAGGTCAAACATTGGGAATTATAATTCTGAAAAAAAACACATGTTCTGTGGAGGCTGGGTATTAACTTAAATGCAACATAAGCATTTTCAGTGGCCACATCTACTGTACGTACGCTTGAAGCAATACAGGCAGTCGCACTGTGTGACAGGCCACCTAGCAAGCAGCGCCACGTATATCTGTGGATATCAGCGACAGACGAATGACACACCCGAAGAGAGTGAACAACGATATGCTTTGTGCTTTGAGTGCAATCGCTACCGGATGCGTAATTACCATGAACAAAAGAAATGCACAGGAATTCCATGAGAGGGCCACGTAGTAGCCACAACGTCCAAGCAGCAGGCCAGCCAGCACGCTAAGCACAATCCTGGTACACACACACACCACCCACCACGACACGCAATTTAACACAAGACGCCCAAACGTATTAACAGCACTATCATCAGTATCATCACACACACACACGTAACACTAGGAATGAAGACATACAAACAATTGAATGAAATGCATTATCTGCAGTGTTATGTCCATGATTGTCAGTAACCAACAAGTATAATCAAATTTCGATTTAAAGCTTTCGTGACTGCAGGGATTCATCTTCTTGGTTCTTTCGGTAAAGTCTTCACCTGAGGACGGCTGCTTGTGTTGTGGCCGAAACGTCGTGAGAATTGTATTTAATTATGTTTAATTTTTATTATTTTATTATTTCCCTTCTACGTGACTTTACCGAAAGAACCAAGAAGATGCCTCACACTTGTTTGAGCATCTGTAAAAGAGAGCTTTACGGCTCATCGGATTCCTTTCTAAACAAATAAATATTCTCATTCCGAGCAGACAAGCACACTTCGTCTTTAATTTCACATTTCAATGAACACGGACAGCGTAATCTTAAAAGTGCGTTGAGAGGATTCGCATTCAACGTGAGCATCACTGGAGAACGTAAGTGGCCGGGTGAACTGATGGTCAGAGCACGGAGAGCCGGCACACCGCCGATTTCCTCGGCTGGAATGTCCCAGAGTCGGTGCGTGCCACAATGCCCTCCCCTAGTTTGGCATAAGCACTTCTTTATATCTGCATTTCATCCAAACATCAAACGGTCCTCAAGAGACCCCCCTTTTCCAGCTTGTCTTCTTTGGCAAAAAGCTCATCGTTATAGCAAGTGGAAGGAGGGCAGAATTTATTTAGCTAAACATGTGGTCCACTCAGACAGGAATATTGACACTTTTGAAATGAACAAAAAGCCTAATATTTATCAAAAACATTTCTAAATAAAAAATACTTACAAATCACGAGTGCACTGGCCTCAGCCCAGTTTGGACATTTCTTACGTGAACAACCATATCTATAAATCTTGACTTAAAGCTTTCGTGACTGTTGTTTTGTAAACCCTCTGATAGAAACACAATCTTACACATGTACACAATACTCCAGGCTTCCCAGGATAAGCACAGTACCCAAAACTACAGTATAACAACTTTGAGAGGGTATTGTGGGTGGACCTTCAGAGTGGGTGGAAACCTGGAATGCACTTGGCACGTCAGATCTAAATCAGCTTCTCTGAAATGAACACAATTTACATTTTTGTGCACTTTTTTGTTACACAAAAAGACCCAAATGTGTACAAGGGCATTCTCCTGACAGCCCACACGGCCCCCTCCTCCACACCTCTTTTCAGACATGCATCCACGCATCTTGGTCAGGCCCAGTGACACAAGACTTATACATCCCGCACCTCCGATTAGCTACGTATAGTGCGAAAGAAGTTCAACACAGATCTCATACATCTTTGGCCTCTTGAATGCAACTTGCCGTAACTTTATCGCTTGAGCACTAAAATAATCCTTTGTTGGCTATCACTAAACCACAATTGATGCTTTTCTAAATTGTATGCACTGCTCATAAATTATGTACATTGGATGATTGGAATTGATTGGAAGGAGCATGGTTTTTCATCACGCTAGGATGTCTATATCACGGCTACAGTGGTATACCCTGGGTCGATTGTTGAGCCTTATGGAACATATTCTTTCACTGCATAAGGTCCACCTTCCTCTCATAACCCCCTGCACCTCCACCCACCCCGGTTTGACTGCCACACAATGAACATCTCTACAGCAGGGTGCAGAGAGCACTGCAGAGCCACGCTCACTCCACTCGAGGCATCAAGAAGGGATCTCAGAAAGTAGTTTTAATACATCACAATCTGCAGGCCCTTCTCTACAACGGGGTTAACATGCGGCTCTGTGAAAGTTCCACGTTGACACATCTCAAGACATGTATGTTGAACGTCTTTCACACCGTACGTAGCCAACCGCGCTGATCAGAGATGCAAGGGAAGTACAACAAACTAAACACAAAAAGCAGTTTTAAAGAAATTAGTTTTCAATCTAGATTTACAGGTGCATAGCTCCAGTGGCTTCCGAATAGACATCGGAAGGAAGAGCGTTCCAGACGGCCACAGAAGCGCATCTGAAAGCGTGCGATGCGGTGAGGGGTCTTTATTTTTCGATTTAAAGCTTTCGTGACTGCAGGGATTCATCTTCTTGGTTCTTTCGGTAAAGTCACGTAGAAGGGAAATAATAAAATAATAATATTTAATTATTTAATTATTTTATTATTTCCCTTCTACGTGACTTTACCGACAGAACCAAGAAGATGAGGGGTCTTTGTTCAATGGCCAGTTAAAAGCCGCTGCCGCGAGGATGACCGGAGTTTCGTGTGGTGGTTTCGCTCCTTGGTTTTTGCGCTCCTTGACGTGACACCGATAGCATGCAATCGGAATAACGTTAGGAAAGGAGACCGTCGCGAGAAAAAAAGTGTCGAGAACAACGGAGGCGTGTTAGTTAACCCTGCCGAGAAGTGCTACTCACCCGACGTACTTGTAGCCCGCGTACGCCACGATCTCAGGGATGTCCATGGGCACGCGCAGAGCGGCCAGGTAGAGCCCCAGGGTGACGAGAAGCACCTCCACCAAGAGCCACGTCAAAGCCATGTTGGTGCGCGTCCAAAGTACGTCGGGGCAAAACCTGCACACGTTTGCAGCGCACAGCGGAGGAGGGTGGCGCGCGTGTGCGACGGTGCGTCGATTTAGGGGGTTCCAAATCGATTCTAAAGCACTGGGTAACTACATCGAATCACATTTGTGGACATTGATTATGTAATGTTTGTGCAATATCGTTTTTTTTTCATTTTAATTAAGGATAAAGGGGGAAAGTTAACCAAGACAGAATATACAAATCATACAGTCTAAATGAGTCAGACGTCTCTAACAAGACAGAGTATATACAGGGCATGAGGATGCTTTCTTCCAGATATTTTGACACGTAAAGTTGAGCTATCTACCTCTGCGACACTTGCCGGCAGTTATAGTTCACATACCACATCTGAACAAGTCTTGCGGAAGTCCCACTGCACGGCGATGTCAAAATGCTTTTGTGTAAAAAAAAGTCAAAAGCAGGCAAGCCCCAGTGCACCGTGGGGGGATTTCTCGTGCCATTTACGGCATTGAGAGTGCAGCAGTGGCGCAGTGATCCATTGCATTGCACTGCGAACCCCCCGAAACATGGGTTTGATACCCGGCCGTGGCTAACATCAGCGGCGAGCGATGATCTGAACCGGTTATAGGCCCCGCCCCCTCCACTTTAGCCACCGACACGAACCCACATGACCAACGCAGTATGGGGACGCCTTCATCCAGCAGTAGACGGACAAAGGGCCGTACATTTAATAACATTAATTGCCCTCTTGCTGTCAGCCTCGCACGAATGACACAAAGGGCATCCTGCAAAGCTCCCGGGGACAGCTGTCGTTTTTTCTTCTTCTTCTTCTTAATTTTGGGTCCTGCTTTTATAGGTCATATTTAATAGGTGTAATAAATTCACAACAGCTTCTGGGCACAAACAGGAGTGGACATTGCCACCCTCATATGTCAATTGTCTTTGCCTGGCACGTTCATTTAACTCAATAGCTTTGCTGATATTTGCCAATGTTTCCCACGTAACAAAAAAGTTGCTTACAATAAAGTGACACTGACCTTGATCATTGGATCCAGAGTTAAGCCTGGTTCGTACTCGCAAGGGTGACTGCCCGAGAGTGACAGGTGTTATAGGCTGGGGCTGTAAGATTGCCAGAAAATGGAAAAAGAGCAAAATACTTCCAAACCTCTTTCCGCAGAGGTTTGAGTTCTGTCTCCTCGTCTGTCTGAGTTTTTATCAAGGCAAGCCGGCTTCCTCCCACAAGCCAAACCACTCTTTGCTGGAATTGGCCAAACATTGCAATGCAAGGGTATAATTATTATTAATATCCAGCCAGACGGTGAGAGCAAATGTGTGAGTTGTTGGGTAGAAAATCTGATAATTGTTGTATTATTATTAAAAAAGAATAGGAAAAAAACTGGAAGCGTGAAAATGTCAAAGCAGTTTTAATTAATAAAATACGGATATTCAAAAAGTAAGAATTTAAAAGTACCCTAGATTCACAGGCGGGGCACGTGGTGGAAAAGCATTTATGGGCCTGGTAATAACAATAATATTACAGGTAGGAACAACAGTTCCACACTGCCCACCAGGGATTATTTGTCTGTCGTGCATAGCCCCTCCAAAACATGTACGCTCCCGGATTGGTTGAAGTGCGAGCTTTCTGTCGTCCACGAATGCGCTGTCCAACCAAGTTCCTACGTGCCCACTCCGAAGGAACGTGTTTCTAATTTCTGCTGAGATACGAATGCGTGAAATTGAGCAATATGAATTGAAGTGCCAATCCAACTTTAGAAAAACGAGGCTACTGCCTTTCTTAAAACAGTTCTTTACAGTATTGACAAGGCAGGGTTGGCGGCTGTAGGGTGGTGGCGCAGTGGTAGCACTTGTGCCTCGCAGCAATAAGTTGCCAGGGTTCGACTCCTGAATTATAGCATGAAACTCCCACGTGGCCTAACCCAGAAACAAACACGAATCGTTGGGTTTGGCTACGAAAACCTACGCCACGAGTTTTCTGCGCAGAGTTTGTATGTTCTACGCGAGTTTCCTCTGGGATCTCTGGTTTCCTCCCACGGTAAAAAAAAAACACAACCGTGCAAATTGTAACAAGCAATGGCCTGAAAACCCAGCGCTGAAAATTTACCTTCAAATTACTTAATTTGGATTAGACACAAACATTGCCAGTTACTGCGAACACTTGGCGGCACCCTTCTGAAAATGAGTCTTTAAACTCAGCGAGGCATTCCTGGGTGAACAAGTATCACAAATAACAACACTCACGGAAATAAAAAAAATAAAAACTAACCCACTTTTAAAAACGTGTGAAAAACCAAAAACAATCGGCCAGTGCCCGATGCGTTTGGCAGGCGTAGCCAACAGGCTTTAGCGTTCCCAGAATTCCAAACCATCCGTCATTAGCCATATAGGCCGCAGCTGACGATGTAGCTCTGTCGAATATCGCCGCAACACGCGTGGACTCAGCAGTGGACACCCGGGCAGATAGGTTAATGTGCCAGCAATCCTTATTCAATTTAGCAGCCACGCTCAAGAGAATCTGTCACTAATTAGAGCGGGAAGCCCATTAATTCAAATTAGGTTCTCCCGCTTGTTATTTTCAAATGTTTTTCAACCGATGGGGGGACAAAAAAGTGACGCTGCTAAATAGTAGCAAATGCTAATTTTCTAAGTGGGCTCTGAACAAAGCAATCCATTAGCACTGTATCACAAAAGGACACAAAGGTGTTCACAGGGCTCTTCAGCAAAGGCAAATTCATCTTCTTGGTTCTTTCGGTAAAGTCACGTAGAAGGGAAGTAATAAAATAATAAAAATAAAACATAATAAAATAATATTTTATTATGTTTTATTTTTATTATTATTTTATTATGTTTTATTTTTATTATTTTATTACTTCCCTTCGACGTGACTTTACCGAAAGAACCAAGAAGATGAATCCCTGCAGTCACGAAAGCTTTAAATCGAAATTCAAAGGCAAATTGTTTATCCAGCTTACTGCTACACTGTAATAATGTATAGCCCTTTATCAATCCTTGCGGATGAAGGGCCTTCCCATGCCGTGTTGGTTATGAGGTACGCTTGAAACATACTTCACCGTACCGGTCAGTGCAGCTTAGTCACATGCCACTGACGTCAGCTTGACCAGGAATCAAACTCAGGCTGCTGCTGGGTTCATAGCACACTGCGTGAGCCACCGCACCACGGCATGTACAGACTGCTATATACAATGGAAGCTGGATATAGGCTCACCTTATAAAGCAGTTTTGATATAAGCAACACTTTCTTGCATTACACTGGTGGAAGGCAATAGGGGAAACTTCTGATACATGACAAGTACACACCGGCACTTAGCGTTCTCGCAATATAACAAAGGCTCTAGATATTACAGAGCTTTTCAAACTAGCAGGGAAGACCCTCGCGGAGGGGCTGTCGGACTGAAGAATGCATGAAGCGAGGCGGCTGGCACACAGAGTAAAACGAATCGCAAGGAAAGGCGACAAGTATTCCGGACACCTCCGGCAAGCTCTGGCATGTGCAGAGCAGGGCGTACGCGATGCAGAGACGCGTACGTACGCGGCCAATTGAACACGGGGGGGGGGGGGGGGCTTATCACGTTGCCGGTGCCTGCCAAGGAATTCCGATTTTATAAAAAAAAAAATTGGGGGCGGTGGGGGGGAGACGTGGCTGCAAATCGCTCGTTTTTCTGCAAGAACAGCCGTTTTTGTGGATGGATTATTCCGCTTGGGGCTGTAAGTAAAACACGAGCAATTTGTTTCCCCTCGCCCCGCGCCATCCTTCCCCCCGCACCCCCTTTTGCACCCCCCGCAGCCCCGGCTCCTCATTAATAAAACACTTGGGGCGAGGTAGGGGGGGCAAGGAGGAGGGATGGCAGAGTGGGGAAACGCGGACACTGCACCCCGCCCCCCCCAAACCCAATTCCCCCCTTGCTCTTTGACCGGAGCGACTGCTGACGGTGGCGTTGCGATCGTACCTGTCCTGCGTGCCGTAGACGAGGCCCGCTTCCAGGACGTAGGTCAGAAAGGCCATGGCTGTCAAGGAGGCATTATTAATAAACAATCAGCTTGGCGGATGCACGACCAATGAGTCGTATATCAAAGTACAGTTTCGCGGTAACCTCGTCCCCCGCCTCCTCAAGACGTTACAACTCAACACTGCCGCTCGAGGTGTAGTCTTGGCTGAGGAACTACCGTGAAACACACACACACCAGGCTCGTACATTTTCTGAACAAAGGGGCGCATTCATTGAACTTGATTAATCATGTGCAGTATACACGAGGCATACGGCCATGTATATAAAAAAAAATTGGAGACCAGTTGAGGCGTTTCAGTTGCAAGAAAGGTCAATATCAAAACGCAGAACTTTTCTTCATGTGATGTACAGCTGTATTTTTTTAAAGCTTTGCTTGGAAAAAATCTAGAGTTAAACGAAATAACACGTCATCTGAGGATAACTCTCAAAAAAACACATTTTGAGCACGATCGTTTTTTTCCCACTCATAAAGGCAATTTTATATTAAACCAAAATTTTGCTTAAAGAATGCCTACTGCATTCACCATACTGCTTGTTAGATGCGACGCAATTTCATCAGAATGCCCAGTGACAAAGTCATAGGCCCCTGGAGATAAAGTACTCCAATGCGAGACATGTGCTTAGATTAAAATATCAATAAAAGATATAATAAAAACGACCACTTCATTCCATTGCAGAATTCATAACAGTATGAATACATGCAATGCCTTACCACGATTCATTAAAGCTCCCGTGGCATTCGAGTGCAAGTCACTCATAATAACATTCACATTATCAGCGTATGGCAAAATCCACCTTGAAAAAGTCACAAACGCATCACGTCAGGTCAAAACACAGGCCGACAGAAAGTCGTTGACCACACCGACTTTGACAAACTTTTGTGGAATAAAAGGCAAACAATATCTCAGTTGAGTCTTTCGTTTATCAAAATGCACTTTTTTTTTAAATGTCCAAAAATTTAACGGACAAAATTTGTGCCGAACAGTTGACCCTACATCAGACAAACGTTGGTCTATTGCACCGTTTTGTAATTAATTATACACATTTGGTGCAAAAATAGTGGACATATCCACAATATTCATCCATATCCATCACCGTCTTTATTATCATTTTCTTCACCTCCATCATTACCACATTTCACTGTAGATATCAGATTGACTTTTGAACCTGTCCACATGACGTTTTCCTCCGATCCACACTCGCTGATAAGAGGAATGCAGATCCAAAGGTAACGTGAAAAAGACTTGGGGATCAGCCAGACCCCGCAAATACTGTACAAGGAATCACCAATAAGAGTACGTAGATAAGAAGAGTGTTACCATACAGTGCACGCATTTTACAATACTGCACAACGCTGCCATAAAGCTCTCCGACGTGTTTTCGGGTTGTGTCACGTGTTTTTCCGCATCATGTCAAACATCTTGCTCCACGTACTAGGCGCTTCAGTTCAGAAGAAGCTCCCAGCAAGTTGAGTGACACGTCAGACATCATGGCTGTACTACACGCGGTACAATCTAAAAACACGTTAGAGCACAACCGCAAAAACCTACATAGTGGTGTAACTCCACAAAATGCAGCAATAGGTGGTGGGGATCAGGTACATGGCTGTGTTTGATGTACAATGATCAACATCTCAGAGCTGTGGAACCGCTTCTGATAAAGTGAGAGTAAAAAAAAGCATCAGTCTATTATTCAACCACTTTAAATAACATTTCATCTGTAGGCTAATGTCCTACCTGATTGATGCTTTGTAAACAACAAAAAATTCGTAATTTATCCCCTGCATGTCAGATATTGCTTTGCTGTAGTTGTAGCCAAAGGGGGAGTATTTTTTAACTCAAGGCCAGTGAACAAGGCCTTCTATTATTCAAGCTTCCATACTACAAATCAATCAGTGACCTTTACTGAAACCAGGTGACAGCCCATTGAGACGAAACATTTTCTCTGCAACGGAGACCAGGGGGTGGGTATATAGCCCAACAGCACGTCCGACTCTCCGATGTGCTTTCGGGTCATTACCGCGTACCGTTCGGCACGATGTCCGACGTTTCGCTCCACGTGCCGCTGGGAGCTTCCATAGCAAAATTCAGTGGCCGAACAAGCACGTGGATTGATACATTGGGCGTCATGCCGAGAGCCACGCGGCACAATCACAACATCCTACGCGGAAGTTAAGTATGCTCGCCGCTCAGCTGGCACGCCGTTGAAGGTGATATAAAATGACCCTGTGGTGTCATTAGCAAAAGGGAGAGCAACACACATGGGATTCAATACCCAAATCCCAAATGTGATTGCAGGAGGGCCCCAAAGCAAAAGCGTAAAAATATCCTGTCTCTATATAAAACACATTTACTGGAGTGACCACGGCAAAATAATACAGTGAATTCTCATTGGGCTGTCACCTGGATAAATAAAGAACAATGCACTGCACGGAATATATTATGGTATTTCATCTTCAAAATGCACAGCAGCGATGCAATATCTCACTCGTGGTGTGTGGTCATGATGACGGTATTCGGTCACATGCCGCTGCACCCGTGCATTACAGTGGCTGCATTAATATGACGTAAAGTACTGCAGTAAATAACGGGACATATCGGCAAAATAAATCACTGCTGAAGCAGTGCGTTTCATTTCATTAAACCCAGAAATATCATTATGCATGAGCACAAGTGTGTTTACATGTTCAGAATATCAAAACCAGCACTTAAAGCTAAGAATAGTGAGGTCAATTTGTGGCTCAGAGAACCAATACTTTGTAGTACGTAAGACGACTGAGGCAATACCACTGAGATTCTAAAATTCTAATTTAAAGTACTCATAAAAACTGGTTTTCGTGTGAAATATATTCGCGTGTCATTTCCCAGTCACCTATGTAGGCACCAAAAAAATCCTCCATGAAAATTACTTTTGAATTTCATTTGGGTCATACCTTGAAATTATTTGCCATATAGTCATCGAGTGAACTACACATCTATTTGCAGAGCTGAGATCCTGAATTCCAATCTCAGGCTCAATCTGAATGTGGATGTTATCTGTTTACTAAATAGCTGCGTCTGCATTTCCATGACCACTTCATCTATCACTGCACTGAGAGCCGGGCCCTTCCCGCAATGCTCCAAAAAACAACCATTGGCCCAAACTAACACACGGTCTGGAAGTCCACATGCACAATATGTATACGGGGCCTCAGCCCGTCCTCCTCTGTACCTCTCAACACTGTTTATCCATACACCCACCCCTACCCCACACGGCATGGTGACCAAGCCAGAAAGGGCACACCTTCGCTGGACAGAGAATCCAAGTGAGGACGGGTGGTTCAGCGAGTTTCATGACTCAGCGTTGGCCTGGTTATGCCACGCCAGCACACTCTTAACACGTGGTCTCAGACACCCTGCTGGTTCTACTCCAGTATGAGGCCAGGGGAACGACGGAACACATTGCGGCGCCAGCCCAGCCAGGCTTTGGAAGACTTTGGTTACAAGGCACGAGAGTGCTAGAGATGGTACTCTTCAGCCCATTAAGATAATGACTCCATCACAGAACGCAGCCCAATCTTGTGCAATGCAATAACTGGGGTAGGGCAGTTTTATTGCAGTGAATTCAAATTTAAAGCTTTTGTTTAACCAGGTGAGCACTCCAATAGGCAAGGTTTAGTCTATTTCGCAAGCATGGCCAGGGTAAATAACTGGCAAGGGTAAATGGGCAGAGATATTAGCGCATCATCGAGGCACATCACGTACTTTACATGTAGTCGTAATCTTAAGACTAGCCCCAATAGTGTAACTACGGTCGCTAGCCTCAAACCATGGAGCACCTCGTAACACGGCTGCCCGCCTCGATCATTCCTCAGCAGCATTTCAGATATTCACCAGCTTACTCACCGACATCCACGCGAACATAGAAACATTGCCGATCAGAATCAGAATACTTATTTATACCGGAGGAATCCGATGAGCCATGAAAGCTCTTTTTCACAGATGTCTAGTGGATCAACCCCACCTCCACCATACAAAAGAAGAAGAATAAGAAGACAGGAGGTAGGCCCATCATTCAATCACGACCTACTTGGGATGTAGAGATCGGGAGCATTCACGTCAAACTTCGGTGCCACTGGCTCGCCCTTCTGGAACCGAAGGTCCCAGTTCTGCAAAAACGAGAAGCCACTCTGCAGCTCAGCGACTCAACGCGACATCTTCGCCTACAGACTTCAGCTTTCAAAAATGGCAATGTCTTATCCAGATGTTTCATTCTCCGCAGGCGTGTTGGTGTAGACGCAATGTACCTTGAGCCATTCTCTTACACTGCAGTAATATTAGGTAACATTAGGGTCAACATCCAGGCTTACAGTTAATACATTATAGGACATTTAGTTGAAAAAAAATTGTCCATAATGGCAAACATTTTGGAAGAAGTCCTCATCATTATCTTGACATCTTTAACGCGTGTAAAAGCGTACGAGTCCTGGTACTGCACGACAACGCTGCGACTCAAAATCCAGTGACAAAGACGCCGAAAACAATTCAGAATAATAACTGCAAATTAATAGTGCACCATGAAACAAACAACGAGGCAAAACATTTATCCTGAACACTCAAGTCAGTAAAACCTAGGACACTTGCTCACGGTTAACTTTGTCACTGGTACACCGCCAACGGCTTCTATGTAAACAATCAGGGGTAGGTCTTAAGACATGCACACACGGGAACACGGATACAAACACTACACAAAACATTATGTATACAGTGTACGTATCATACTGCAAGGATCCGGATGTATAATGATTAAGCAAGTGTTTGATTTTACATGAGCTTGCACAACCAAAAATCATTTCGTGCAAATCTTCTCGAACAATATTAATCATCTTCTTGGTTCTTTCGGTAAAGTCATGTAGAAGGGAATAAAATAATTCTCTCATCCGTAAATAATATTATGGGTCAGAGCATCTGCGATTCTTCTCGTAATTCACCAATCCCTAAAGATTCGCAGATAAACTTGACAGCGGATGGAACGGACTTCTCATTTGGTGTTATGATGACGTGGCTGTAAAAGAATGGTCTGCATTGTGGAGTGACCTCCAATGAGCACGGTTGGCTATGTACTGTGCAAAAGAAGTTCAACATACATGTGAAGCCACGTGTCTCTGTTGTAATTACTGTATACCAATTACTTGACTACACAGCTGCCAACTTTGTAATGTTGAAGGATGAGCATACTTTCACCGCAAATAGCACAGAATGCTTTGATTTTTTACAGAAAATTTGCTATACTATCCATATTTTTCTTTTCCCAGACAGAACTGAATTGAAATAAATGATAATTGTTGTTGGTAAGAAAAATGTAATGAAAAGTCATCAACTCTAAACACTAAAACAGCGAATAGCTCATTACCTGACTCTTGAGCATCAGACAGAACCACAAAAATTTAAGACTCATAAGGTGCCTGAGGCTCTGAACTGCATTAACTAAATAATAAAGTTATGATTATTTTTAAATGGCATATTGTTACTAATTAGAAAAGCAACATTATAAGTCTCTGATCAAGGCCAACACATTTAATTGATAGCACACATGTTGCTACCCTTGGCACCAAACCCCACGTCACCAAGAAAAACCCAAGCACTGTGATTTACAACCACACCAAGGCTCGATCAACTCATGTAGCCAGAATTCTCTGCGAGTCTGTGCCTTGTCAAATTCACAGCCACTTCCCCCCCCTCTCCACTTTGAATTCATCCAAAAATACAACGAACGTTCTGAAAAACAGCGACAGTTGGCAGCCGCGTATTAATGCGGCATATTTATCTTGTGACCTTTACTGTATGGTTATCGGTTCACTTGCCTCGTCGGAGAGACGTTCATTATCATTTTAAGGTTTTTTTGTTCAAGCAATCGACAGAGAATTGCCATTTTGATTTAGTCTAGATTTAGACCCTTGCAAACTAAGACGAGCCTTTAATTTCCTTCACAGGGTGCTGAAAGTTCACACCAGATCTGGCAGACACGCTTTAACTCAAGGCCCGCCGCTGTGCATACCTGGAATAATTTGGCAACCAATCTCCAGATAAAAACCGTTCTCTCTTAATCATGACAAATGGGACACTCTACTTGGAAACTTTGTGAGCATTTGTTTCTCATCACAGTTCTATCTTACTTTAACGGGATTATATTATTCAATTGCTAAGAGAATGTGACATGTGCCTTTGTTTACTGCGGTTTGTTTTGGCATTAAACTGGAGCACATGGAGAAAACCACGAGGAATAACATTCAAAGGTCCACGCAAATGGGTCCACGAACCCACTAACCGTCCTGTCATATCCTAATCATTATCAGAGCCCAGCAGGTTTGGAACATTTCACAAAATCTATGAGATCCACCATTCCCTCCAATTGATTCCAGGCTTGTGCCGTGTACAGCCAAACGCAATTGTACACCAATTCTCTTATCCACAAGCCCTCCCCCAATGTCATCAACGGTAATAACAGCGATCATTAGCTAGCTACTTTAATAGAAGAGACGCTCATTAAACAGTAATCACCTTGTTTCTACTTTCTGATATCAGCTGCAAGGTCAATGACCTATTGATAAAATCTCTTTTCATATTTTACAATTCTTTGGCAATAGAAATTCCAAATTACAAAGAAAACCCAATTTAAGTTTACTAAACAATGGGTCAATCTGAAAAGGTAAATATGTCCACATCACACATTTGTAATGTCTTCAGGATTATTACCATATTCTCCAGATAATGAAATTCACCTTTTCGCCCCCAGTATTTTAAACCAAAAGTTGGGGGTACATCTCATAATCAAAATGGCACGTTAACCAAAGGCACGCTTTAATATTGTTGTTTAGAATCATCTTCCGGAGGGTGGACCAACACAACACCACTTTGATGGGATTCACCACCAACCATTCAGAATAATCTTCCAGAAGACATCTCTCCCCATGTTAAGTCAGCGTGTTCATAATCACCTTCTGGCAGATGGCTCTTCACAGTACTGTACCGTCCCAATAAAAAAAAAATCACTGTTTCAACATCGGCATTTTAGAATGAGTATGGTGAATTCAACAATTGACACCACGATGTACCTTGTGTGTGTAGGGACACAGAAGAACCTTTAGCTTATTTTGAACGTACACCGTGTCCACTGCAAAGTAGCATTTTAGCTTGTCGATGGGAAAATATTTGCTAATCTGCAAAAAGAACACAAAAGAGGGACACATTTTACAAGGAAGAAGCATACCGAGTTAATGATTGGTTAGTAAGAAAAAAAGAATACATCCTACTTCTTGGTTTAAAGGGGGTAGTGGGGGTACAACAGAAACACTGCTCACACCCCACCCTTGACGGAGTGGCTCTTGCCTTCAGATCAAGGGATGGATGGCGTTATACCTCCTCCACCACACTGCTCAAGCGTATCTGGGGTCAAAAGCCAGCAACCCTTGAACCGTGCTACTTTCAATTGCTACAAGACTGAGTCTGTGAGCTGCAGTGAACCAATGATTATGCCGATTATGGCTATTGTTCACAATTGCACCCAATTAATAGATTCAACTGTATGTCAATTATTGCAGATTATTGGACAAATATCTAGGTAATGGGGCATCAGGACAAAGTGTTTAAAAATAAATGATTTAACGTGTTAACGTCTCCATACTAACCAGAGATGTCTGCACACACTGTGGCTCTTGCGAACATTGTGGAATCAATTACTGCTATGTCTTACACCACAACGTTTTAGAAAGAATCCAAAATATGAATATAATTCACATTAAATGTTGAATAAGTAAAAGTTTCAATTTAAAGCTTTCGTGACTGCAGGGATTCATCTTCTTGGTTCTTTCGGTAAAGACAGCGTCTGAATTCAGACGCTGTCTTTCCGACAACCCTGTTCTTCACCTGAGGACGGCTGCTTGCGTTGTGGCCGAAACGTCGTGAGAATTGTATTTTATGTTTTATTGTTATTATTTTATGATTTCCCTTCCACGTGACTTTCTGCAATTCTATGGTTGCAACGGCAGCGTGCGACTGCCCGACTGCCACCTGAATGCACAATGAATAAAGCGTCACGTTGTGATGAGGAAGCCAAGGCACCGTCATACTCACTGCCTTGGGGCAAGCACACCGGCAAAATGCATGGGCAGTCATGTGCAATATAACAGTTAATAGAATAATATTAAACAAATAATAATGTATAGCCCTTAGTCAATCCACTGCTGCCTACAATCTTCAATTACCCAAGGTTAAATCACCATATTATAAAATTATGTGATAGGCATTTTCTTTTTTTAGTAAGGACATTTAGATAGAGTGGAATGAAGGCAGTGCTGTTTTAGACGAAGAATGTGATTTGTCGAGTTTAAAGTGCAGGGCAGGTGACTGCGTTTGGGTGAAAGCCTTTAGTGTGCACTGTGCACTTCTGCACCTTTCAGATGTTTGATGTTGTCTTGACGTGACCTTGCAATTACTCAAGTGTACTTGCATAGAAAAGCTTGTGAGATGTCGTTATGTGAAACATTCTGAAAGGCCTTAGACAACCATTGCAGATGTATTGCAACTACAACAACACAAAAAATTACATTCATGTCAAAAATTTTTTAAGGGCTACATTGCAATATTTAATGCGGGTTATATTCACCTTGATGGAAAACCACTGCTTTTCTATACTTGTGGAATGGTTCGTAGTGGAGCCAACGATGGTGAAAAGTTTGCGCTTAACTGTGGAATCGTTCCGCCAATCGTGCGGAACCACTTCAGTCAAACTCTGGGGGCATGCCTTATGTAGTGGAATGCTTGAGTGGGTTTGGGAGGAGCACATTTCACCGTAATCCACATGCGGACCTGTCGCCTCCGTTTATCTAAGTGTTCGAAGAGTTGGCTCAGTTTGTGGGCGAGGAGAGTGTGGGGAAATCAGTTTGCACCGCCCAGATTCTCCATGGCACTGCCGCTGCCGACAATTGGCTGCGAGGTTTTGTTTCGTGGAATGGACCTCCACCAAATCCACACAATCGCTTTTAAGGAGCTAGCACCTTGTACTAGAATATTACAAAAAGCGTGAAACTAAATTCAATATCAATTGGGCCTAATGTATCTTCATAGACCCCCACTGGGTAATACATTAAAAACATAGAAAACAACAAAATTATTTTTAAATCAATCGTCGAAAAGTTACGAATTACAACCAATTTTTTCTTTGTAAAAATAACTTTTTGGGCAATGCGTTAGGAAGTAGATGGCAGTGCAGCGAAAAACATTGATGTTCCCTGCCTTCACAAACCCGCACCGACCAGCATACTGGAGAATGGTCGAATAACTCCCGTGACCCACACGGTGCGAGGAGCAATCGATTGACAAAGGGCTGTACACATCCAGCAATCGATGAGCAAAGGCCTGTACTTGTACACAAGTACACACACAACTTTCGATTCCGCCAACCGCTCGTATTGATTGGATAGTTGATTGCGTACTGTTAATATTTTAACACATTTCCGTAGTCCGCACGGCACCTTCCGACGCGCATTGCCAACTCACGCCTCTGTCCACGGCCTCCCTGGAGCGGACGGCCAGGTTGGTGCCGTACTTCAGGGCCATGTCAGCCAGGGGGTCATTCCACAGCTCCTGGCCCTCCTCGGGCCCTGCCGCGTCGTCATCCTGCCTGCGCTTCCTGAGCAGCTCATCACCCGCTGGCACGTGCGGTACCGCGGCACCCCTGTCAGCGTCCGAGTTCGCGTCTTCGTGCTCGTCGGCTGCTATTGACCACCCGGAGAAGGGAGGGAGCATCGCAAAACACATGGCACTTGGTTTCACACTTCTGTAATATTCAGTGCCTTAAGGAAAGTGTTCCAAAAATCCTACTGCTCCGGGAAAACATGAATATGGAGTAGGTGAACAGACGAAATGTAATTTCATTTGGGTATTACCAAATATTTACGAAAACACGGCATTTAAACACTGCGTTAACGTGTATAGTTAGGGTTGACATGCGATGTTGGCATGCGATGTCGGCGTGCTAGAATGGTTTTCCATCCTGGTGAATATAATTCAGGCGCAACTGAATTTGTGCTGGATTGCTCCCCGTCGATGTCAAGCAACGCGGTGTGACACACAACGCAAGGAAGTGTCATGCAACCGAAGTGCAATACCGACGCCAAGGATGGTGGGCGTAAAGCAAAAACTAGAAAGAGGGTAAAAAAATAACAGGCCACTGCCTCCATAAGGAGCGATGATAGCGCGCGAAAGAAGAAGCTTCAGTCAAGGCACCAACATTGAAATCGTCTGGACCTGTAGGGTCATGACCTATAACAGATTCAGAGCATCGAACAGCCTCGTGAAAACAGCTACATTTGGCAGATGCAGCTGGCTACCACGTGACTTTACCGAAAGACCCAAAGATAATGGCTCCCACGTCCACACAATTCCACCATCCCCTCCTCAAGCTTGCCCGTCCACCATGAAGAATCCACGTTCATTCTAGATTTGAAGTTTTCGTGACTGCAAGGATCCATACTCTTTGGTTCTTTCGGTAAAGTCACGTAGGTGAAAATAAAAAAATTAAATAGAAATAACTAAATTAAATCACGACGTTTCGGAAGCAACACGAGCTTCTGTCATCAGGTGGGACGACCACAGCAAGAAACAGTAATTTAGTTTCTTGCTGTGGTTGTCCCACCTGATGACGGAAGCTTGTGTTGCTTCCGAAACGTCGCCATTAAATTTAGTTATTTCAATTTTTTTTCTTTATTCTTATTTTTATTTTCACCTACGTCACTTTACCGAAAGAACCTAAGAGTATGAATCCACGCTCAGCACAGTTGCTGCCTCGTCTCTCTACGTAGTCACTTGATTCTAACATCCTCATAAAAAATCAACGTTGCATGAACGTTTTATTGCTATCAAACCTGAATTTTCTCCACACGCAAGGGCCCCACTCAAGCATGGAGACCGATGTCATGGAGCAATGGTGATGTGATAGCTGTGGTTCATCCTTCGGAATGGATTGCAAACTGTGAATAGTTTCCAAAATCACATCGCGTGCGTATCGAGACTTTTCAGTGCAGCCAATGAGATTCAGCCTGGTTGCCTATGAATCCACGAAAAAATACAAGATTTTAAAATTCCGTTCGCCCCCCAGCTCCCCTCCTCCTCCTCGCACCAGGTCTAAGAACTTTAGATGTATACAACACTGTACATCACCTGGAGTCTTTACAGAACGTGATGGGAGACCACCAGAGTGTTGGGTTAACCGGGTCCGATTGAAGCAACTCTAAAACATCCCTGCGGAGGGAGATGGTAGGAACGTTGGGTTGCTCGGTCAATAGCCAGGGACAACGGCGGCGTGGTGTATTCCGCAAATATGCCCGACTGCGAGGGCGGGCACAAGCCGGCGTGAGTAGGTTAAACGTTGAGTTTCATAAGGGCACCACGGGGTGACCAGCCCCTCCCCACCCAGCCCCACCCCTCCCATTTTTGGATGCACGACGGACGGACACAATAATCCCCTGTGGGCTGGTGTAACCAGGAGGTTCCTACCAGTAAAACAACTTTACTCTGCAGTACTGAGGTTGTGTGGCATCGGCTCAATGGGACATTCTTAGATGTGAAGTGAAACTTATGTCTAGGGAGATTTCCGAAATCGTGTAGATTTTTTTCTCTCTCCATCCGATGATGCGACATCAATAACGATCCAACTGTGATGACATCCACGATAAACCCATTCCTCGCAAGTGCACAATAGATCGGGATTTTGAGAACAATGAAGATTTGGAGAGGCTGATTCTGGCTGTACTGTAATCTAACACCTTTAGTGGAACTGACATTTAGTTTCCAGTTTAAATCCCCCGTGAACTAAGAAGGATTTTCCCTGAAGGTGTTTTATGTCAGCTATATTTTAAGCAACAAGCCCCCATCACATTCACCGTCATGGATTCGAATGAACGACGACCATTTCGCCTAGATCACGATATTAGTTGTGCTTAAGGTATAACATGCGTGTGTGTTTTTTAAATATCTTATTCATTTCAGTTTTCACACCAATACTACGTTTTAGAGAATGAAATGGTGGGGGAGGTCACGAGACATCTGGACAACCATTTGCGTACGCAATAATAGAATTGTCATGAAGCTGCATAGCTTCATCGGATTCCTCCAGTGATGATTCTGAAGTTGCATCCAAACGCGTTGGAGTAGCAACCCAGAGAGTGAGGGATCAGTGACTAATACCCAAAGCCAGACTGTGTTTGTGCATTGACTCGATACCATTCCATACCTGTCAACCCCTTATCAGTGCCGACCTTATTACAGACCAATCCAGACCTTATTGCCCACCCCGTGCCCTGATGAATCTCAACGTTCACCCCACAAAGTCCCATCACAAGGGAGAAACACAAACAAATCGACCAATTTTTTTTTGCCCTTAATGAAACGTCTATATATGTCCCTGTACAAGAATCCGTGGTATCTATATATATATACCTTACGGGTTTGAGAGGCATGCAATTAACAACATTCGCCACGTTGTGAAGAATTCCACAGAATGTGCACGTGTACAGTATGCCAACGTGCAGTGCGCACTGTATGCGCGCACGTGCGCGTACTGTACGTACAGTAAGCCCCCTGCGTACAGTGCATACAGTACGTACAGTAAGTACAGTAGTGCGTTGTGTGCGTGGACTCCGAGCTGCACCTAGCCTGGCACAAAGCGCCGTGTTCGGCCGCCGCTGTGGTTCTCGCACTTGCAGGAGGCCCCGAGTTCGATTCCCAATCGATAACCCGGGAGCAGTGACGGGTATCGAATGCGGTAGCGGTGGGCTTCCCCTAGGTCGACTCGGCCTCAAATGTAAACGTTGGAGATGCAAAGGCGGCCGGGTGTGGTCCTGGTTCAGAGCAAAGTCGCGACCACCTCGCCCCCTCCGTGTGATGTGTCGGCCTTCAAGAGGGGAGCTGCTCGCTCACAGCACTCGCAGCCTCTACAGTCACTCTACAGTTAGACAGCCTACACACAACAACAGCCTACACACAACAACAGTCTACACACACAACAACAGCCTACACACAACAACAGCCTACACACAACAACAGTCTACACACACAACAACAGTCTACACACAACAACAGTCTACACACAACAACAGTCTACACAACAACAACAGTCTACACACACAACAACAACAGTCTACACACACACGACAGTCTACACACAACAGCCTACACACAACAATTAGACAGCCTACACACAACAACAGTCTACACAACAACAACAGTCTACACACACACAACAATTAGACAGCCTACACACAACAGTCTACACAACAACAACAGTCTACACACAACAACAATCTACACACAACAACAACAGTCTACACACAACAACAACAGTCTACACACAACAACAGTCTATACACACAACAATTAGACAGCCTACACACAACAACAGTCTACACAACAACAACAATCTACACACAACAACAACAGTCTACACACAACAACAACAGTCTACACACAACAACAACAGTCTACACACAACAACAGTCTATACACACAACAACAGTCTACACACAACAATTAGACAGCCTACACACAACAACAGTCTACACAACAACAACAGTCTACACACAACAACAGTCTATACACACAACAACAACAGTCTACACACAACAATTAGACAGCCTACACACAACAGTCTACACAACAACAACAGTCTACACACAACAACAACAGTCTACACACAACAACAGTCTATACACAACAACAGTCTAAACAACAACAGTCTACACACAACAATAGTCTACAAAACAGCCTACACGCACAACAACAGACTACACACACAACAGTCTACACACAACAGCCTACACACAACAGTCTACACACAACAACAGTCTACACAACAACAACAGACTACACACACAACAACAGTTTACACACAACAGCCTACACACACCAGTCTACACACAACAACAGTCTACACAACATCAATCTACACAACAGCCTACACGCACAACAACAGCCTACACACAACAACAACAGCCTACACACAACAACAACAGTCTACACACAACAGCTTACACACAACAGTTTACACACAACAACAACAGTCTACACACAACAACAACAGTCTACACACAACAACAAGTCTACACAACAACAGTCTACATACAACAACAGTCTACACACAACAGTTTACACACAACAACAACAGCCTACACACAACCGTCTACACACAACAACAGTCTACACACAACAGTCTACACAACAACAGTCTACACACAACAACAACAACAGTCTACACACAACACTCTACACACAACAACAATCTACACACAACAACAACCACAGGAGGGGGTGGGTGGGGGTGTATATTTTTGTGTTTGCGCGTCTGCGTTACTCACGACCATCGTGTGTTCCAGGCTGGGATCGATTGTCCATCGCGATGGTGCAGTGAGGGCGAGTGTGGGATGATGATGATGATAACGATGCTGATAATGATGATGATGATAACGATGATGATGATAAAGAGCGGGGTGGGAGCGTGTGAGAGGGGGGGGGGCTTCAGTGCATTTGGAATCGAAAACGACGATTCGGAAAGTTGTAGAGATCCCAGTGGGAGTCGAATCTATTTAAGCGTGATCGATACCGAAATCGATTATTGGCTAATTCGATTCTTAGAGTCGATGCTTGATGTGTGTCGAAAATCAATTATTTTTGTAGTACTATTAGGTTTTTTCGGTAAAGTCACGTAGGAATTTTTTTTATAGAAATAATAAAGGTAATAGAAATAAAATAAAATATTTTTTGTAGCCCCGTTAGTACTACATCGTCTGCATTGTTTATACTGTACTGTTTTATCTGTCTTATCTGTTCTGTTTTAGGGGCCGTCCATGAATGACGTCACGCGATTGTTGACGATTTCTGACCCCCCCCTCAATTATGACGTCACAAAGCTCTGCCCCCCCCCACCCCCAAAAAAATTAAACATGCTTCAAATCGCTTTCAACTATTGTCATTGTAGTGCGTATTTAATGTGGCGCTACACTCTGATGTTGTAGGAGAAAATATTTATTAAAAAGTCTATTTAAGTAAGTAGAAATATAAAAAATATAATTCTCACAACGTTTCGACTGCAACACAAGCAATCATCATCAGGTGTGAAATGTTCTTGCTGTGGATTTCACACCTGACGATGATTGCTTGTGTTGCAGTCGAAACGTTGTGAGAATTATATGTTAAATATTTTTATTATTTGATTATTTCCCTTCTACGTGACTTTACCGAAAGAACCAAGAATATGAATCACTGCAGTCACGAAAGCTTTAAATCAAAATGATTACTATTTGTCATCAGCAGCCATGATTAATCCACTGCTGAATGAGGGCCTCCCCAAGCTGCTGCCATCTCTTGTGGTTCTACAATTCAACGATTCCCATCATTTTTCTTGACGATCACATTTCTAATTAACCTGGATATCTTCTCAAATCCACGTTCTCCACTTTCCATCAACGTAACTTCAAGCGTGAGCACTTCTTTGCACATATTTCCATGTCCGTTCCATTTTACTCATTGATATCGAAGTTTCTGATTGCGTGTCGTAGCAGGCCGAACGCACTTAATAAGCGTGTTTTTCTTTTGGCACATTGCTCTAACTACGTTTCACGATCAAGAAGACGGAAGCTTCTGTTGCCTCCGAAACGTCGTGATTTTTATTTTATTTTTATTTTACTTTTATTAATTGTAATTTTTAACCTACGTGACTTTACCGAAAAAAACCTAAGAATATGAATCCTTGCAAATCTAGAATTAAGTTGTATTAGCTCTGCGAGAGCACTCCGAATCACCTTATTATTTCAATGAACGCGTACATTGGGGAACACCTTTTGATCAACTGCAATCTACTGATAGTTCTTACAGTCACAAGGTCACAACATTAGTCTCAGTACATATATATAAAATTTGCTGTAGTCTACCCATGGATCAATCGGTCCATCTGTTCATCCCCATCTCGGCGCGCTGTGAATTGCTAAAACGAGGTAATGTTGATCTCGACCCGGAGACAATAACGATGACATCTGCTAAACTGGGGATTTAATCGGATCATTGTCACATCATCGTGAAGGCGCCCGCAGGGTCGGTTGGGGTGGCGGGCAGCCATGGAAGGGCGCAGGTGTAGTGTTGGGTATAATTCAACTGAAAAGCCAGTCACAATACGACGGCACCCCACGTTAATGCATGAAAACAATGAAATATAATTAAAACACATTAAAATATATTTATTCACTTCGATGAAAAAGGGCTAATAAGGTCAAGGGAGGTGTATCTCAATCAATGGCGATGCATTAAGTTGCATGCTTTTATGTCTCTATATTGATTCTGAAACCTTCCTGCCTGTTGTTATTTGTACATTTTATTGTTTTTTTTATTTGTTGTTCTAAAACAAAGACGACAAGGTGGAGCGGTTGTGCGGTGGTTATCTCACTGCGCTACCAACCCGAGTTTGATTCACGGTCATGGCTATCAATCGTGGCGAGTTATTTCTGAACTCTGCACCGACCGGCGTGGTGAAGTATGGTCAGACAACACTCACGACGCGCACAGCGTTGAGTATATTTACATCCAGCAGTGAATTGTCAAAGGAACTGTGCATTATTAGTATCATCATCATAACACTATATATACAACATTGACAAAAACAGAAAACGTGGGGAATTGATGCGAAAATATATCTTATATTCTTAGGTTTTTTTCGGTAAAGTCACGTCGGTAAAAAATTAAAATTAATAAAAGTAAAATAAAATAAAAAGTCACTTAATACAGCTATCGTGCTGTGACGGTTCCACCTGAAGACGGAAGCTTGTGTTGCCTCCGAAACGTCGTGATTTTTATTTTATTTTACTTTTATTAATTTAAATTTTTTACCTACGTGACTTTACCGAAAAAAACCTAAGAATATGAATCCTTGCAGTCACGAAAGCTTCAAATCTAGAATATATCTTATTTTAGTTTAAAAGCTGTGGGGGGTGTTTTTCATAAGACATTAAATTACGAGTAATTTTATTGAATGCTGCGACCGGGATGGCCCCGTTAAGCCCTCGTGATAAGCAGCTTTGCCACTTTAATCCTCTTCAGGGCCAGCGAATCTCGCGGGGGGTGGAGGCAGCGGCTTCTGAAGCTGAGTGACCGCGTGAATGCCGCACGGAAACACCGCTCCACTGATTTTATTTCGATTTAAAGCTTTCGTGACTGCAGGGATTCATCTTCTTGGTTCTTTGGGTAAAGTCACGTAGAATGGAAATAATAAAATAATAATAAAAAACATAATAACATTATTTTATTATGTTTATTTAATAATAATAAAATTTAACATAAGAAAATGATTTTTAGAATGGAAATGATAAAATAATAAAAAGAAACATAATAAAAGAATTTTATTTAGTTTTTTTATTTAATTATTTCCATTCTAAAAATCATTTTATTATATAATTTTTTATTATTTTAAATGATAAAATAATAAAAAGAAACATAATAAAATAATTATATTATGTTTTTTTTTTTCCATTCTAAAAATCATTTTATCATGTTACTTTTTATTATTTTATTATTTCCATTCTACGTGACTTTACCGAAAGAACCAAGAAGACGCTCCACGGATCTGTCGGTCAAGGGGACCGCCGCCTCTGCGACGAATCGGCCGCCAGGGGGAGCGATTGCCCGAAATCGCGGCTCCCTTCCCTCCTCTCGTTCTCTCTTCATCGTCCGAGGGAGTTTCGCAACGTGCACGCCATCGATCCGCCATCGATCCGCGATCCACTGCTGCTGGGGGTGGTAGGCGCACGCCGACAGCGCGCACCTGCGTGGTTGGGGGCCGCCCATAAATGACGTCACGCACCTAGGGGGGGAGGGGTGGGTCAGACATTTGTGACGTCACGCACCTAGTGGGGGGGGGGTGGTCAGACATTTGTGACGATGTGTGACGAGGGGGGGGGGGGGTGAGAAATGTGACGTCGCATCAAAATGCGCAATTTTAAATAAATATAGACAACACGTTCTACTTAATTAAATAGACTTTTTAATAAATAATTTCTCCTACAACATTAGAGTGCAGCGGCACATTAAATACGCACTACAATGACAATAGTTGAAAGCGATTTGAAGCATGTTTTATTTGGGGAGGGGGCAGAGCTTTGTGACGTCATATTTGAGGGGGGGGGGGGTAAAAAATCGTCCAAAATCGCCTGACGTCATTTATGAACGGCCCCTTGGCACGCGCTGCTGGCTGCCACAGCTCTCCCTCTTGTGACGTGCGTTCGGCACCCGTTCTCGAACAATGTCTGCGTGGCACCTCCGATTAGCTACGTGCGGTGCGAAAGAAGTTTAAGATGCGGGCACGCGGAGTGAACAGTCAGACACGACGGCTAACAACAGGCGGTGCCACCCGAACACACGTGCCGTTTACGTGACGAACCTTACTCATAGGCTGTGTCGGGTGGTGGTGGTGGGTTAACGACACATTTATGTTTAGGGGCCGTCCATAAATGACGTCATGCCATTTTGGACGATTTTTGACCCCCCCCCCCCTTCGTCACAGAAAGTCAGACCCCCCCTTCAAATATGACGTCACAAAGCTCTGCCCCCCCCCCAAAAAAAAAACATGCTTCAAATCGCTTTAAACTATTGTCATTGTAGTGCGTATTTAATGTGGCGCTACACTCTGATGTTGTAGGAGAAAACATTTATTTAAAAGTATATTTAATTAAGCAGAACGTGTTGCCTATATTTATTTAAAGTTGCGCATTTTGATGTGACGTCACATTTCTCCCTCGTCACACATCGTCACAAATGTCTGCCCCCCCCCCTAGGTGCGTGACGTCATTTATGGACGGCCCCTTACGCGAACTTACCCCCGCCCCCCCCCCCCAAAAAAAAACATTACTATGGAAAATCCGGAGCAGTGCGTTTAAAATGCGGTGCGCTAACCACTACGCCACCACTTCAAAGGCTGACGCATACACACTGTGCATTCTGAACACACAAGTCAATAACGTGCCAGGAAATATCATTATCATGGGACGTATTCTTTAAAAATGGTGACTTAATAATTAAATGTATCTGTTGTGATTCATGGTATTGCTAAATCTGTTTACTTTGTCAGGCGCCCTGGATTTTTTTTTTTACAGAATCCACGCGTTCTCCCACCAGGGGCATGCAACTAAAGAAGGTGTCTGCGTTTTCAAGTCATCATCCGGAAACGAGGGCTTGACGAATTTTATCATGTTTCTTCTAGCCCATTTCACACAACCACTCGTAAGCGTGATCACAGGAGAAGCGTTGCACAGTAGTTGCAAATGTGAAATCACATATCAGTAAAACTGTGTCAAGGCCATCCTGGCTAGTGTTGAGATGCTGAACATCTATTTTCCATATTGTTTAGAAGTTATACATCATATTCTCCATGGGATCTAACGATGCATGCATTGATGAATAGATTTATATGAATTCTTCAATTCAGACTACGTGCATCAAATCACATTCATA